GGCCCCCAAAGTGCTGTGATTACAGGCGTGAGCCACCGCATCCAGCCTGTGTTTTATATATTAAAAGAACAAGACTTTCCCCCCTCTCTGGGGGTGATACTACCCTGTTGAGAAGGCAAACTATAGTTTAAAGGCTCCCCCAGTTATAATGGGGGCCCGCAGAGAGTATCTCATCTGGGATCACCAACATGCCCACTGTGGTTTCCTTTAAGAATGCACCTCACTGCTGCCCCCACTAGCAAGCACTGCAGAGGCCCCCATTCTTCCCAGCCTATCCACACTCCCAAAGTAGCAGAAGCCTTGGTGAGCTAAAGGCACCAGGTTCCTGAAGACCTCACTGCCCCAAACCGTGCTGTGTGCCTCCCAGAAAGGAGATGCATTCCCTTCTCCGCTCTGTCCCCTTCTGTGTCTACGGGACTGGAGGAAGCACAGGTGGCCTTCCTTAGTCTCAGAGACATATGACAATGATCCTTCTTCGTCCCTGCTCCTGGGACTCCCAGAATCTGCTCTTTGCAGAGCCCTTTTACCAACCACCAATCAGCAGCCACAGCCAGCTCCCAGCGCAGACTGGTCTCCACCACGTGATGGAAAGCATGTACAATGTGCTGTCACTTACATCACCAGTGGTCCACCTGTGCCTTAGTTTGCAGATGCCAAACTGGAGACCCAGAGAGGTTTGGTCTTGGAGCAAAGTCACAGGGTGAGAGGTTTCAAGGCCTATGTTCTTCGTTCTGCACCAGAATGCAAGAAACCTCGCCTGCAGTGCCCGCACGTGAGGGAGCCAGGCACGCCCCCTGAGTGTCCTACTTGGAGTGTGGTCCACACATCAGCACTTTCCACAGATTGTCGGTGACCAGTTCATGATGAGTTAAGCACAAGAGCTGAGAGTAAGCAGTTAGAAATGTATCTAGCGGCCGGGCGCAGTGGCTCAAGCCTATGATCCCAGCACTTTGGGAGGCCAAGGTGGGTGGATCACGAGGTCAAGAGATCGAGACCATCCTGGTCAACATGGTGAAACCCCGTCTCTACTAAAAATACAGAAAATTAGCTGGGCGTGGTGGCACATGCCTGTAATCCCAGCTACTCAGGAGGCTGAGGCAGGAGAATTGCCTGAACCCAGGAGGCGGAGGTTGCGGTGAGCCGAGATCGCGCCATTGCACTCCAGCCTGGGTAACAAGAGCGAAACTCCGTCTCAAAAAAAAAAAAGAAAGAAAGAAATGTATCTAGCAATTTCATGGTGTAATTTAATGCCTATTAGCTCTAATTAAAAAAAAAAAAAATCGAGCCGGGCGTGGTGGCTCAAGCCTGTAATCCCAGCACTTTGGGAGGCTGAGGCGGGTGGATCACGAGGTCAAGAGATCGAGACCATCCTGGTCAACATGGTGAAACCCCATCTCTACTCAAAATACAAAAAATTAGCTGGGCATGGTGGCGCGTGCCTGTAGTCCCGGCTGCTCAGGAAGCTGAGGCAGGAGAATTGCCTGAACCCAGGAGGTGGAGGTTGCGGTGAGCCGAGATCGCGCCATTGCACTCCAGCATGGGTAACAAGAGCGAAAGTCCGTCTCGAAAAAAAAAAAAAAAAAAAAAAAAAATCAGAGGCTGGGCGTAGTGACTCACTGCCACTGCGCCTAATTTTTGTATTTTTAGTAGAGATAGGGTTTCACCGTGTTGGCCAGGCTGGTCTGGAACTCCTGACCTCAGTTGATCTGCCCGCCTCGGCCTCCCAAAGTGCTGAGATTACAGGTGTCAGTCACCGTGCCTGGCCTCCAGGTGTCTTCTTGACTTCTTGACTCTTTGTGTTCTGTGCCAGGAATAGTGGTTTCCCAAGCCAGCGGTGTGCACTTTGGGAGGCCTGAGGTTAGGAGTTCAAGATCAGCCTAGCCAACATGCTGAAATCCTGCCTCTACTAAAAATACAAAATTAGCTGGGCTTGGTGGCATATGCCTGTAATCCCAGCTACTTGGGAGGCTGAGGCGGGAGTATCGCTTGAACCTGGGAGGTGGAGGTTGCAGTGAGCTGAGATCGAACCATTGCACTCCAGCCTGGGCAACAAGAGCAAAACTCTGTCTGAAAAAAAAATCTGGGTTCAGGTATTTTTTTTTTCCATTTTACTTTTCTAATGATTCATTTCTGTTGTGTTTTAAGAAAGTGTCTGTCTGTGACAGATTGGATTTTTTTAAAATAAGCTATTCTTTCCCTACTGATAGAGTTTTAAAAAGCACAGTATAGAGATTGCAAACCTCCTGCTTCCTGCACAGAGCATGGAAGGTCTTTGATCTCAGGATTAAGGGAAAGAAAAATAGCAAGTGGTTGTTTGGCTAAACTAACTGGTGGTCAGAGCCCAAAGGTCTCTCTTTAGTCCTGGGGCAGACACAGCTGCAAGGTCATCAAAGCCTGGCTCCTGGTGGCTTTTTTTTTTTTTTTTTTTTTTTTGAGATGGAATCTCACTTTGCTGCCCAGGCTGGAGTGCAGGTGAAGTGGTGTGATCTCACTGCAACCTTTGCCTCCCAGGTTCAGGTGATTCTCCTGCCTCAGCCTCCTGAGTAGTCGGGATTACAGGCGCCTGCTGCCACACCTAGCTAAATTTTGTATTTGTAGTACAGATAGGGTTTCACCATGTTGGTCAGGCTGGTCTGGAACTCCTGACCTCAGGTGATCTACCCACCTCAGCTTCCAAAAGTGCTGGGATCACAGGTGTGAGCCGCCGCACCCGGACTCTGGGTGGCTTCTTGACTCTTGCTGTCCTGTCCCAGGAGCAGCGGTTTCCTGAGCCATGGGTGTGCAGACAGTGGCTCCATGTGCCTTGCACTTGGGGGCTTGTCCAATCACACCCTTGACAGAGCAGTTGTGAACCTTACGCATCATCCAGTCGCCCCTCCACCCTCCTGGTAAAACAGAAACCTGAGCCCCAGCAGGGTGACACCTTGCTTATTTTCCCATCTCCATGGACGAGGAGGGTGCCTGTTACAGAGGATCCATCTGATCCATCAGAAGCCGAGCTCCAGTGAGCCATAGAGAATAAGGGGTTTCTCTAGGGGTCAGAACTCCTCGATGGTGGGAGATGGTTGGTTGGTCTGTGTAAGGGGTTATCTCTGTGTCTCTGCTGGGCCTGAGGTTAGCTGGGCCAGCTCAGGGAGAGAGGCTGGATGTGAAGTGGGAAAGATAAACAACAAACTGGAATGGTATCTGGTTTTCACCACCTGCAGTCTCCATGATGCCAGGGCCCCGAGGGACAAACTGGGCATCTTCGTTCCAGAGTCGCACACCTCATCCAGGAGCTGGATGACCTGTGGGCCTGCAGCTGCTCCGGGTCAACACAATAAGCCAGCATTCAGCAACAGCTTAGGGGAGGTGCTGGGCACCTGCCCTGCACAGCTTCAGAGCACAGCAAAAACAGCTGTGCTGTCCTTCCACTTTCCAAATCTTGTGAACATTTCTCTTCCTCACCCCTCCGCCAACCCACGACCCTCTAGGCAAAGGAATTCTGGGCGATGTAGTTCAGCTTAGCTAAGTTGACACTACAAAGCCACCACAATGCCCATTAAATGCTGAACAAATATACCAATGAATGAATGAAGTGACTTGTCCCAGGGCATGCAGTAAACAGTTGAGAGACAAAGCTGGAATGTGATGTGGGGTGGTTGGAGGGGGCTCTTTTAACCCAAGGGCATGACTTTCCACTACACCGCTGCACCATGGTTACTCCCAGAGCACGGAAGCTCAGCCCAGCCACAGAGTCACAATGCAGGATGCATCCACTGCTCAGGTGTGAGGCCCCTTGCTCAGACTTTCCCCAGAGCTCTCTCTGGAGTTGAATTCCACAAATGTTTAATGTGCATCCAGCACGTGGCCCACACCAAGGACTCCACGCTGATCAGACTCAGCCTCTTCTCACAGGAAACTTACCAGCTGGCTGGTGGAGGGAGAGGCACACGTAATTCTATGCCACGTATAGAAGAAGTGCGGCTGGGCGCCGTGGCTCATACCTGTAATCCCGGCACTTTGGGAGGCTGAGGCGGGTGGATCACCAGGTCAAGAGTTCGAGACCAGCCTGACCAACATGGTGAAACCCTGTCTCTACCAAAAATACAAAAATTAGCCTGGCATGGTGGTGTGTACCTGTAATCCCAGCTGCTTAGGAGGCTGAGGCAGAAGAATTGCTTGAACCCAGGAGGTGGAGGTTGCAGTGAACCGAGGTCACACCACGGCACTGCAGCCTGGGCAACAGAATGAGACTCCATCTCAAAAAAAAAAGTGTTTTGACTTGGCCACAGTGGAGGCCAATCACCAGCTGGATCTTAAGGTGGAGTAGGAGTTGCAGGCAGCCAAGGTGGGGAAGGGCACTCCGGCCAGGAGATGAGCATGGACCAAGAGCCAGAAGGACTGGCAGACCATGGCCATGCGTGGGAAACAGTAAGCCACCCTGCATGGCCGGAGGGAAGGATGACTGGAGGAAAGAAAGAGCCAGGAAAGTGAGGTAGGTGCCAGACCACCAAGGTTCTTCAATTCTGGGTGCAGAACTCTGGCAGGAACATGCAGCTGGTTGGACCTGGGCAGTGCCTAGGGCTGGCGGGGGGAAATACACTTCGAGACAATTAGCGGGAGGAGTTGACCTGGCAGATCTGGGAATCTTTTTGAGGGTGTGAGAGTTGTAGGTTTGACACTGAGGGCTTAGAGCAAAGGCAGAGATGGATAAGGAGGACCCTCCCTGCACCACACCTGGGGTCAGGGCCAGGGACAGGAGGTGAGGAGAGATGAGACCAGAAGCGTCTTTTACTCTGGGACAGAATACTGCAGGCAGGAAGCTCTCTAGTGTTTGCCAGTCTGCCGGTACCCGTCCAGACAGCATTCCCAGATGACTCAGAGACCTCCGGACTGCAGGAGGTTCCTTCCAGAAGCCAGCACTGGAGCGCACACTGACTGCCTAAGCCTTGAGCTTGAAGCAACCTACCACCCTTGGAGAAAGCAGAATCACAGATGAGAGAGGAATTAAGAGGCTATCTACTCAAAACCATTTTATTTACAAGAAAGAAAAGAGCCAAGGGGGCAAACGAGGGCAGTGAACTTGAGCCTACCCCGTCCCCACGCGGCGACCTTCTTACTTCAGTGTGCTGTCATCTGGGTGCCCCTGCTCCATTTGGCCTTCAGATGGAGATGACATTAAGTGGTGGTGTTAGGGTAGGGTGTCATCGCCCCTGGGGACAAGACCCAAAGGTGAGGGATACTGCTCATTAGCACAGGGACAGGTCAACCAAATCTGATAAACCTTTGCACAGATGAAGCAATTCATGACTGCTGCATTTCAGTGATGCTTTATATATTTTATTGAGGATTTTTATGTGTTTTCGGTGAGAGGGTGGATCCAGATGCTTAGATCATCCTAGTCTTAGAAATCGGAAACCTCTCAGATTTCCCACTGTGTGACTTTGGATAAGCCAATCTCTGGGCTTCAGTTTCCTTGACTTAAGGTCAAGTCAGAGAGTTTCCAGGCTGCTCTCTGCCCCGAGGTAGAGCACTCCTACCTTGTGGCCTCCTGGCCCGTGCCTCCGACTGTGTATTTCTGAGGGCTTCTGCCCGGCCAGCACCTCGACCATACTCCTCCTCTGCTTCAGTGCTGCCCCCGTGGCTGCCACAGGCTCTCTTACCTCGGTAGTGCCTCCTCTGGCCCTCCCCAGCCTCTTAAAGTTGGCCATACGCCGACTTGACTCCGAAAACACCTGTCCTCTCTCAGAGCTGAGGTCAGTGCCTTAGTGATAACAGCCAAGACAAATATGCACGATAAGACCTGATCCAACACCACAAGCAAATTTGAGCATTTGAGGGGAGGCTTACTGGGTCAAAGAGCTCCAAAGGGTCTCAAAGTCCAGATCCTGGGGGATCCCGCTGTGATCCCCCTTTGCTGTATCTGGGTCCCTTCCTCTCACCTTAGTGTTTTTCGAGAGACACAGCATCAGGTGGCCGTGATTTGCTTGAGGTAGTGTTGAGAGTCCCTCTTGGGTTGAGGGTCTCAGGTTGAGAGGCCCTCTCAGGGTCTTAGCAAGGTAGCATCCAGCCCCCACCTCCCAGCCTTTGATTTGCGGCACAGCTGACTCACTGCTGGTGCCCAAACGTGGTGTGACCCAAAGGAGGCAACACAGGAGAAGTAGGCACTACTTGATGAGCCTCATCTTATATCGGGGAAATTGAAGCTCTGCAAAGTTAAGTCATTGGAGTTTGACTTTTTAGGTCTGATTCCAAAGTATACTCTGTTCTCTAACTAGGGTTACTTCCGGCTACTCATTTAACCTGTTCGATGCTCAGTTTCCCCATTTGTAAAAAAGCGATACATACACATCCTGCTTGCCTCAAAGGGCTGTTGTGACAATCATTTGAAATAACTGATAGAAAAAGCACTTTTAAAATTGGTATGATGCAAGTTAAATGATGCCCATACCTATCTATACATACGACATCTGCACATATTTATGATGTTGGAGCTGGCCGCAACTTAGCATCTAATCTAATCATCTGATTTGACCGGACACGAAACTGATTTCAAAGCTGGGTGGCTGCAGAGCCAGGACTAGAGTTTATGTCTTTGGGTTTCTATTCCAGGGCTCTTTCCCCAAGGGGCCTTTAGGAGCCAGCAGGGGAGGGGCAGAAATGGTGCCGCTGCTTCCTCGGCTCTCCTCCACTGCGTTTTCCTTCCTCCCCCATCCCGAGTGAGTCTCTAGGCCACAAGGAACCAATGAAAATTTGGGGGCAGTGAGCTCTGGCCTCAGTAAGATGACCCTGTAGCTGTGGGTGCAATCACTGGCTGTCAGGGAGCCTCTGCCAGCGCAGGTGGCAGCAGAGGCAGAAGAAAACACCATTGGGGGTACAATCTGCTGAACATGACAATGTTTTTCCAAGGGTGGGAGGCGGGAGGTAAGAAGCAGCAAAAGACATTCTGGAATTCTGAGACCAAGTCACAGGAGGAACAGTGGTACTGGGAATAGAAATGAAGGAGTTAAAAGGAAGGGCTGATTTTTGGAAGGGATGATGATGATGTCAGTTTGGGGCCAGAAACAGTGAGGGTTAGACCTGGATAGGTCCAAGGGCACATCTGGTGTGACCGCTCCCTTGCCCCGAGACGCTGTGTTGTCTTCGAGCTGCTAGCAGGAGGCTCAGTTTTGCATGTGCAAGAGCTGACTGGAAATGTACTCTGGCTCTGGGAAAGGGCTGTGGATGTCCACTTGAGCTGCATCATCCCAGATGCAGTCATCTCCCCTAAGGGCCCAGAGCATTTGGAGGGGAGGAGGCAGAGGAAAAGAACCAAGTGGAGGAGGCAGGAAGAGGGTGGCCCAGCAGCAGACTGGGCACTGTGCATTGTCAGAGAATCCGAAAGCATGGCATTTCAGGACGTCAGGTGGGTGGATGCCTTGAAGAGGTCTGAGAAGGCACAGCTGGACTTGCTGACCTTTCAGAGAGGGTTCCAGGAGGCTTGATGGGAGCAGGCCAAGAGGGCTGCCTTCAGGGTCTGGGGTTTGCATTCCAAGACTCAATCCATGATGGGCAGATGGAGGAGCCAGACTTATCTCCACGAGTGCCAGTGTCTTCATCTGGAAAGACAGAGTAATAATACCTACCTTATGCCTTGCCATGAGGATGAGGCTAAGAGGAAGAAGAATAAGAATCACCACCGGCAGCCGGGCGTGGTGGCTCAAGCCTGTAATCCCAGCACTTTGGGAGGCTGAGGCGGGTGGATCACGAGGTCAAGAGATCGGAGACCATCCTGGTCAACATAGTGAAACCCCATCTCTATTAAAAGTACAAAAAATTAGCTGGGCATGGTGGCGCGTGCCTGTAATCCCAGCTACTCAGGAGGCTGAGGCAGGAGAATTGCCTGAACCCAGGAGGCGGAGGTGGCGGTGAGCCGAGATTGCCCCATTGCACTCTAGCCTGGGTAACAAGAGCGAAACTCCGTCTCAAAAAAAAAAAAAAAGAATCACCACCGGCTGGGCGTGGTGGGTCATGCCTGTAATCCAAGCACTTTGGAGGCCAAGGTGGGCACATCACCTGAAGTCAGGAGTTCAAGACCATCCTGACCAACATGGTGAAACACCATCTTAAAAATAAAAAGATTAAAAAAAAAAAAAAAGAAAAAAAAAAAGAATCACCACCTACTGAATGCTTCCTCAGCCACAGATAGCATGCAAATACTTTTGTCCATTATTTGAAAGTCCTTCACACACCTAGATTGATAAGCCAGTCAGAAGGACCATCATCTTTACTATTAGCATCAGAGAAGATTGCAATGATCTGTTAAATGGTTGAGACAGAAAGTAGGCCCAGAGGCCAGGCACAGTGGATCACACCTGTAATCCCAACACTTTGGGAGGCCAAGGTTGAAGGCTTGAGTCCGGAAGTTCAATTCCAGCCTGGGCAACATAGTGAGACCCCCATCTCTACAAAAACGTAGAAAATTAGCCAGGTATGATGGTGCATGCCTGTAGTCCCAGCTACTAGGGAAGCTGAGGTGGGAGGATGGCTTGAGCCTGGGGAGTTGAGGCTACAGTGAACCGTGATTGTGCTACTGCACTCACCCTGGGTGACAGAGCAAGATCCTGCCTTGAAAAGGAAGGGAGGGAGGAAGGAAGGAAGGAAGGAAGGAAGGAAGGAAGGAAGGAAGGAAGGAAGGAAAAAAAATGGACCCAGAGAGAGAAATTTTCACAAAATTTGACAATGAATGGACCGTGAAAACTAGGGATGATGGCTGGAGAAAGACGCAACTTAGATGTTTTAAAGATTGGTTGATAGGCTGGGTGCGGTGGCTCACGCCTATAATCCTAGCACTTTGGGAGGCTGAGGTGGGTGGATCACCTGAGGTCAGGAGGTCAAGACCAGCCTGCCCATCAGGGTGAAACCCCATCTTTATTTAAAAAAAAAAAAAAATTAAAAAGAAAAAAAAAGATTGGTTGATAAAGATTACTTATCAACCAAGGAAAGGAAGAGATGGAAGAGGCCAGGAGAGGCATTCTGTTGGTCCTTTGCCTGCCAGGTGCTCCTGTCAGTGTCGCAGGCCCGGCTGGCTGCTGGATGGCTGAAGGATGCCTTTCACTTTCACTCTCCCTCTGATTAGCCAGTCTCTGCTCCGAAGACCCTGCGAGTCTTCCAGCAGACCTCAGACTCCTTGTGAGGACAAGATGGAAAGCCTCCCTCACTCATTCAGTGGGGATTGGGCTGAATGGGTGGCATGGGTTCCAGCCCTCCAGGCCCCGTCTTCCAAAGCACCTCTCCACCCGGCCCAGCCTTTTACCCACTTGGCTGCCTGAGAGTCTGGGCTCCAAGCCACCCAGGCCGGTCTCTTTTGTCCCTGATCAAGTACAGTACAATGATCACAACAAGGTCCTGGCAAAGGTCCCCAGGAAGCTGCAGTCCTTGGTGCTGCTTTTGGGGGATTCTGTGGGGCAGGAGGAAGCCATGGGAAACTTGTTCCCCCCTGAGATCACCCTTTTCCTAAGTGGCTTTGGGGTGGATGGACACGATAGGGTTTTCTCCAGGAAAACAGTCTCATCAGTCTCTCCAAGTAGAGAGAGCAAGAGATAAGACAGAAGCAGGAGCTCAAGACCAGCTTGGGCAGTAGAGCCAGACGCCGTATGTACAAAAAATTTAAAACTTAGAGGGCAGGGAGGCACACGGCAGTGCCCAGTGTGGGGTCAGCCCCCTAAAGTTCTCTCTTAATTCAGGCCTCCCCTCCCTTCTCCTCAAGCACTGCCCTCATCTTTGAACTCATTGCAGTTCCCCAGATTCCTCCCCTGCATCCCAGCCCCGGCCTCCGGAGTTCTTTCTACACCATGGATCTGATCATAGCACACCTGCTTTACAGATGTCCGAGCCTCCATCACAGTCAAGTCCTCCATTCTCCCCGCTTACAGAGGCAGCTCGGGCTTTTCTCAAATCGAGCCCCGTCTACTGCTGGCCTCACCGGAGTCCTTCCTTGAAGTGCATTCATCCATTTGTGTCTTCAACACATGTTTTTATGTTTTTTTCAGGACCTACCCTGGCTAGTGCTCTGCTGGGACCCGCTGGGGACCCCATGCCCTGGCCAGTCCACACTTCTCAGCCAGCCCACACAGGCCAACCATACATGCTGCCTTTTAGGGCCTGAACCTTCAAAGGCTCCCTTCTGAGATACTCCCTGGTTCTCCCTTTCAGATATCACTCGCTGCTCTGAGCTCCATGCCTTTTACAAGTGTTCATTAAAGTTATCTGTATGGTGTGTTCATTCATCTTTGAAAAAAATAATGCTCTTGGTTTTATTTGAGTCAACCTTTGACAGGCATCAAGGTCATCGTACTCTCCGGGGGTCTTGCTTCATTCTCTCTTATCTTGTACGGGAGGCTTCTGTTTGGGATGTATGTTTCCACTCAAAGGCAGAGAGGCCCTGCTGTCTTTCTGTCTGCAGTTTGTGGAGTGAATGAAGGATGCTGAGGGCTGACACCAGCAGGAATGGCTGTGGGGGAGGTTGGGGACTGTGGGAATGTCGGGAAAGTGACCCCATCTGGCCCCCCGGTACAACCCCACCAGTTGGCCAGAGTGATCTCCCCACCACCCCTGCCTCCATGTGATGTCTGGAGGGGGCCCGTTTGACCACCTCTTAATCTCAGCCTCTCCGTTTTCAAGTGAGATGTAATAAAACGGGTCCCATTTGCCTCCCAGCCTGTGGTGAGAATCTAGTGATTAGGATATGCTAGCACACACTGTCCTGTAAATCCCATTGAAATCCCAGGGCCCTATAACTCCTCTAATGACTCCCAAGCTCCGGCACCCCACCCGCTCTGTTCATCCTTACTTCCCACGTGTCCCGTCAGCCCTCCGGTTGCAGCCACGCCTATTTCCCCAGGGCGCCGGCCACTAAGTCGCCCCATCCAGCTGGGGTCTGGGGGGGCCTGCCTCACGCCACGCCTAAAAAACCTAACCTTCCCCCATCCCTTTGATACTGCAATCTTCATTTCCTGGAGTCTGTACAACATTACTGCCCAATGGTGTGTCTGCTTCCACGTCTCCCACCGAGACTGAGCTTACTGAGACCAGTGCAAGGACTGCGCCAGTTCCTTGTCGCCCCCTTCCTTTTTTTTTTTTTTTTTTTTACCCTCCCTTCCCCCTCACCGAAGCCATGGCGCCCAGCCCAGAAAGCGGAGCAGAGGTTCCGCAATTCTTTTCTAAGATTGTTTGATTAGAAGGTTCAAAGCCCGCTAACCGAAGGCTAGCTCGTGTCTCCAGGGAGGTTGCCGGAGGGCGCCAGAATGTGGATGGCGCCGACAATGTGGGATACTGGAGTCTCGACTGGCGCGCGCCAAGGAAGGGCGTCACCTAGCCAAGCTGGTCCTGGAGTTGTGTGTCTGGACCCGAAGCTCGCGTCCCCCAGCCCGCCCGGCCGCTTGCTGGCACCGGGGTGACCGCGCCCGCTTTGTGTGGGCATCAGGTGCAAACCCCCAGAGCGCCGGGCGTGCGCGCACGCGCCCGGGGGCTCGCGGAGCCCAATCGCCGCCCCCACCCGGCTCTCCTTTGGGATCTCCTCTGGCGCCCGGGGCCGGAGCGTGGGGGAGGGAGGAGGTCCGACACGTAGCCGGTCTCGCAGCAGGGCTCGACTCCACGCGGGAGGGCGGGGGAGCCGGGGACCCGCCGCTCCAGCCCGCTGGCCTTCGAAAGATCCTCCTGGGCCAATGGCAGGCGGGGCGACGCGACCCGATTGGTGCAGGCGCTCTGCTGATCACTGTGGAAACCCGGGCAGCGGGGAACGCGGGAGGATGAGGAACCCGGGGCGGGGGGAGCCGGAGGGGAGGGCGGAGGAGGTGTCGAAGCCCTGAGCTCCCGGGGAGTTTTTACTGGAGGCAAAAGTCCACAGCGGGCGGGCTGAGGGAGGGGCGGAGGAAGGGGACCGCTTGGGGGCACTGGGAAGCCAGGGATCCTCCGCCGACAAGGCAGGGACTCTCCCAGGCACGGGCGAGGAGGCTGGGGGAGGGGGCGCGGTGGGAGGAGGAGTAGCAGAAGACAAAAGCCGAAAGCGAAGAGGGCCTGGGCTGCACACAGCGGCCGGGAGACAGCTGTCTGTGCTGCGAGCAGCCGGCGCGGGGCGTCACGATCCTCAGGCAGCATGGGGAAGGGGGGGAACCAGGGCGAGGGGGTCGCCGAGCGCGAGGCGACGATGCCCACCTTCAGCTGGGAGGAGATTCAGAAGCATAACCTGCGCACCGACAAGTGGCTGGTCATTGACCGCAAGGTTTACAACATCACCGAATGGTCCCACCGGCACCCGGGGGGCCAAAGGGTCATCGGGCACTACGCTGGAGAAGATGCAACGGTAAGGGTCTGAGGGCGCCCCAGCCGCCCTTCTCTGCTGCAGGCGGAGTCAGGAGCCCTGGCTCCCCGGCCGCCAAACAGACTCCGGCGCTGAATGGAGCTTGGGACGTCCTGTAGGGAAGGAAAGTGCATCTATTGCACTGGTACCCCCGCCCCAATCCTCCTCCTCCTCCTCTAGGCCAACTGGGGTGGAGACCGGATCTGGGACCCCGGGAGGCAGCGCTGCGGTGAAGGTCCCAGCAGTGGAGAACTAGGCAGCGTCTACCGCGCGCGCCGGGACCCACGCGTCCGCCCCTCCCGCGGGGTTCGCCCGGAGCCAGGGACTCCCCGAGGGGGGCGCTCGGGCCTGATGGCTTTGGCGCCCCCAGTGTGGAAGATGGCCGCCCCTGAGGGCCGCAGAAAGGAGCGGGAGCGCAGGCAGCCCGGTGTGGGACTCGGTGCTTGTCTCCCGCTCTCCATCCAGACTAGGTGGCAGAGAAGGAAAGCCCAGCTGGGACTCGCTCCTGCTGGGACTCTTGTCTAAGAAGGCCCGCAATGGCCACCTGGGAAAAACCGCCCGGTAGCTCGGGTTCCCACGCTCCAGGGATTATCTAGACTCACCCTAAGCTCGAGTCGGCCTTCTTGGAGACCAGCGTCGGGGATTGGTGGAAGGAGAACGGGCTGGAGTTTGCAAAGCCCAGGTCGAGTGAGGCCTTGAGCCGGTGGATTTAGCAGCACTAGGCGGGCTGGGCAACAGGTCCATCTGCACTGAGGTTACTCTCGGGCGTTCAACTCAATGGCCCTCTGTTTTTAAATCCTGCCAAGAACGCCCTTTCCTCATCTCGCACTCCTAAAGGTAATGGGCCTCTCTGAAGCCAGGGCCGCTCACCTTACCCACCCCAAATGCGTGGCTCAGTCATTACACCGCACGCCTACCCGCACTCTGCCCCCCTGTCCGAAATCCATGCGTTTCTTCAAAGGTTCAGCTGGTACCCCATGGATTCGAATGGGCTAGAGGGAAAAGAACAGAGTCAAGGAGGGAAGAAAGGGTGGCTCTTGGTGGTAGTGAATTGGATGAGTAGTAAAAAGGTCTGTTGGGATCGAGACATTGGGGAAGGTGAAATTGGGAAGGGAGAGGCTAAAAGGAGGGATAGACTGGGCATAGATCGTCCCACCCGACGTCTAGGATGCGGGTCTGTTTGTGGGCATTTGCCTCCAAGCTGTGTAGGCCCCGGACCTTGACTTCCCGGCCTCTTGCTTCTCATGGAGACCGGCCTAGGGGGAGGCCAGACCAGGCCTCCATAACCCAAGCTGGTCAGTGGACAGGTGGCGTGTCGGAGCAGGACCAGAGATTATTTAAGATTGGGAAAGCCAGCTTTCAGTCCCATCCTGTTTTACCGGCTTGTGGACATTGCTTAAGCGGGGGGGTGGGGGGGGGAGTGGGGGGGTAGGGGCGGTGGGGGCGGTGGGTGGGTTCGTGATGCTATTTAGAACTTAGGTGGGTATGTTTCACATACCTTCAGCGCTATCTCACCTGGACCTTTCCACAACCCAGTGAGGAGGTTGGGTAAAGGTAATTCCTAAGTAAAAGACCTTCTGGATCCTGGGGCGGGGAGGGGTCTTCCCACTATATGTTGCTGGATTTGGGCTGGTTTGTTTCTGATTTCACAGGTAAATTGTAGAAGGTTTCTGCCCTGTCCAGGCCCCCGCCAAAAAGTTTCCCAGAAGGAGAGGTCAAATCTGATGGATTTGATCTGATTATTCCATCTTGTTAAACATATTTTCTTACGTGAACGCTCAGTCTGACGATTGCTGCAACCTTTTCGGCTTAATTACCATATCAGATTGATATTTCATCCTTGTTCTGGATGTTTCTCGGTGCTTACCTGACCTTAACACTTGAATTCCCTCCAAAAATCAGTGCTCACATCTCTCCTGGCAGAGAACTAGGATGCCTTACTCTTCCCTGATCTCGGCTCTGTCTCATAAAAATGTAACAGTCTCTTCATTTCTGGCCTAGCTCCAGCACTTTCTGTATCACTCTCATGGACTATACATCTGGCATCTTGGATGTTGGTTGCTTTGTTACTCTCAGAAGCTAGGGTGGGAGCCAACCTAGGCTGCAAACAGACCTGAAATTGAAGAAAGAAGATGTCATTACTGGGCTCATCCACTGAGTGTTGTCACTTGACTGAGCCCCCTCTCCTCATCTATAAGGTACACCTGTACCTGTTTCAACCAGACCAATTTGTGGCAAGGCACTGAAGCAACCGTAAGCACTAGATGAATTCAGTGGGGTGTTATCAGGCAAACGGGAATAAGAACGAGGATTATGAAACCGCTAGAATGGAAAGTATGCAAAGAGGAATTTGGAAGAAAAAATTTAAATCTATGCTAGCTTTATTTGGTGTTGCAAGATGTAAAAACAATCCCGGTCGCCGGGCGCGGTGGCTCAAGCCTGTAATCCCAGCACTTTGGGAGGCTGAGGTGGGTGGATCACGAGGTCAAGAGATCGAGACCATCCAGGTCAACATGGTGAAACCCCATCTCTACTAAAAATACAAAAAATTAGCTGGGCATGGTGGCACGTGCCTGTAATCCCAGCTACTCAGGAGGCTGAGGCAGGAGAATTGCCTGAACCCAGGAGGCGGAGGTTGCAGTGAGCCGAGACCGCGCCATTGCACTCCAGCCTGGGTAACAAGAGCGAAAACTTTATCTCAAAAAAAAAAACCAAAAAAACCAATCCCGGTCCCCAAAGCTTCCTGTCTTCTAAAGTTTGGGGCATGAAATACACGAACTGGAGATACAGTTGAATGATGGTGGAGTGAGCAGCTGGGTTCTCTTTTTTTTTCTTTTTTTTTTTTTTTTTTTTTTTTTTTTGGGACGGAGTTTCACTCTTTTCACCCAGGCTGGAGTGCAATGGCGCGATCTCGGCTCACCGCAACCTCCGCCTCCTGGGGTCAGGCAATTCTCCTGCCTCAGCCTCCTGAATAGCTGGGATTACAGGCACGCGCCACCATGCCCAGCTAATGTTTTGTATTTTTAGTAGAGACAGGGTTTCACCATGTTGACCAGGATGGTCTCGATCTCTTGACCTCGTGATCCACCCGCCTCAGCCTCCCAAAGTGCTGGGATTACAGGCTTGAGCCACCGCGCCCCTTGTTTGTTTGTTTTTTTTAAGTGTCCAGGACCAGGTTGGAAAAAGGCCTTGAGCGGCATGGGGTGGGTGGGGCGTGTGGGAAGAGGACCTAAAGAGACAGGCAGGAACAGGCTACTGGAATCCAGTGACATTTGCCTAGGTTATTGAGCAAGGGGCTTTGCTTTGCCCTTTGGGGAGACAGTTTCTCCCCAAGAGCATGGGGAGTGAGAACTTATGGACCAGGCACAGTCTGGAGAGAGACTGATCCAAAGACAGAGGCTGGATTCCCTGGAACATTCTCAGGCAATGTTCTAAGCCCGTCACTGCAGTCTCCCAAACGCAAGGCTAAAAACAGGTTGAAAGTCAAGGAAGCCATTCTTGGGACTATCAGGTGTCTTTCTTTTTTTAATTTTTATTAAAATTATAAAAAATTTAAAAAACTTAATGCTTTTTCTATTTTCTTTTTTAAAGACGGGGGTTTCACCATGTTGATGAGGCTGGTCTTGAACTCCCGACCTCAGGTGATCCGTCCTCCTTGGCCTCCAAAGTGCTTGGATTACAGGCGTGAGCCACCACACCTGGCCTATCAGGCGTCTTAATAGGGCATTTTCTTTTTTCTGAGGAGGAAAATACCCAGGTAGTCAGGACCTGCATCCCCAGAAGAATGGGGCAACTGTTATGTGGTCCTTCCACAGAATTTGAACCCTGGCCTTACCTCTAATAATAAAAGTTGCTTGATTTTTGCAGCTCACAAAGCACCTTCATATGTATCACTTCACTTCGTGCTTGGATCAGCCCCGTCGGCTTCGCTCATTGCTCTGACGCATCAAGCTGGCTCAAGGGCAGCACTCAGACCTAAACTCAGGATCTGACCTCGTGCCCTCCCAGCTCACCTTCCTTCTCTTCCTGTTTCCACCTCTGATCTCTTCCCTTTGGTCCTGCGGTGCTTCTCTCGTCTTTTCCTTGCTGTGGGCAAAAGGAACCCTCACCCATGCCCTAAAAGTGTGTCTGCTCTTTTTACAGCAGTCCCATCCCTGTGGAACTGCTCCTCTTCAGCAACAATTCATCAAACATTCATTGAGTGTCTCCATGGCTCTGAGCTGCTCTGGGTCACAACGATGAATTATTCACAGACAGAGACCTGAAGCTGCAGGAGGTGCTCCCCTCACTCTCTCTCCAGCTGGGGCTTGGATCTGGACCCTCTGCCTCTAGACATCAGCACCCCAACCCCAGCCCTTGTCTCAGCAACTGCTGCTGCCCGTTCTGCCTTAGTGACCTCTCAGAATCAAGGGAAAGTGAGAAGAGACCAGAGGTTTGTTCCACCTTTCAACCTGCTCCTATGTTGTTCTTGTGAAAAGGCAACAGATCAAAAGTGGAACTCTGGCCTCCTTTGGACAGGGCAGGAGGGTCGTGGTATTTAGAGGCAGGGGACCTGGGTTCCAGCCCCAGCTTTATGAATTCCCAGGCCTGGAAGGCAGCTCCATCTCCCCAGCTGAGATCTGGGTGGGAGCCGTGCAATTCCTGTGGCTGCAGCCTCAGCATCCCCAGTTCTGAGATGAAAGTGGCGACTGGTATTGATTCCTTCATGCCCAGGTTGCCTTTGCAGGGGCCTATCTCCTGTGCAGCACCACCTTTCCACCTTTAGGGGAGTGTATGGACCCTGTGTTATGGGGGAGGCTCTCACTGCGGGGCTCTTTGGCCACAGAGCACTGCCCCACCAGCCTCCATTGCTTCTTTCCTTGGAGGGGATATAGCATAGGGGCTTCTCGCCCTGCCTGCCTCTCCCTGCTGCAGAAAGGAAGTCAGCATCCCTGTTTTGCTCTTCACTTCCACTGGAGAACGCCAGAGTCCTGCCCATGTATCTCCGCACTCTCAGAGCGCTTGTTTCATAGAGTTCTGATTCCTGGGGCTGCTGCCTGCCGCACTGTATGCCCTGAGCTTGCCCGTCCTGCACTTCCCAAGTCTTGGGTGAAGTGCTGGGTTGTGCAACATTCAATTAGAGATTAGCCTTGCTCTGCAGAGGACATGGGCACAGCCATAAACACATTCTGGCACCAGGTGCTCAGTGCATGGCGAGCCATTGTGAGTTGTACCTGGAGTGGGACAGGGGCAGGGAAAATGTCCCTGTGGAGAAGTCGACTGGCATCAGAGCTGGGCAATGACAGAAGCAGGAACTGGCAAAGAGCGAAATGTGACATGCGCTTTGGAATCTGGGTGTTCTGAGCTCCCCACCCCCCACACACCTGCCCTGCTAGCGCGGGTGCAGCCCTGCTTTCTCCACCTGTTGGCCTCTCTTTTCTCTTCCCCATGTCCCAGGTCCTCTTCCTGGAAAGTCTCTGGCTTCTCGCCTGTTAGGCAAGGAGAGAGCCTGGTTCCAATTCTTGTTCCAAAGACAGTGTTTGGGTTGGCCCTGCCTTGCCTTGAATCCTGGTCTGCCTGCTACCTGCCAGACATTTCTGTAACCCGGCAGAGGCTGGGAAGCTTCTGCCAGTGTGTGAGACACATTTATGGCAAGACATACACAAAAATGATCAACTCCCAAGGAGGAGGACGCTCATGTTGAAGGAAGCCTTTGCATGAACAGCGGGCAATGCTCAAGGTAGCCACGCGTGACTCAAACTTTCATCCCCGAGTGTGATGGTGGGCAGGTGGCTCTGCCAACCTACGCCTTGTTTCTCATCTCTAAAAAAGGACCTGCCTCACCAAGTTTGGTAAAGATCCATGGCTGATATATGCAAACCATTCCTGTGGCTATGTGGCATGTTTATGTCACCTCAGCAGGTGGCAGCTGTAGCAGCCACTGGCGTGGGGATACTGGAGAAGGCTTTTGGTGTTCCAGAGGCAGAAGTCAAGTTGTGTGAAATGTGGAAGAGGCCAAGTGTCTGATCATGACCGCACAGTGGAAAAGGATGAGCTCAGAGTGTGTGCAGCTGTGGGGTCCTGGGTCCCTTCGTTCCCTTGTGAGCCACCTTAATTGGTCCCGTTGCCGGTACTGGGGTTATTGCAGCGAACAGGACAGGTATAGGCCTTCCCAAGGGGGCTTATGTTTCAGTGGGGGACACAGGCCATAAACAAGTGGGTATGTCACTCGGTCTGATGATGAACCTTCATGACTGCCATGAAGAAAATCTAACAGGGCAATGACCCAGGGAAGACCCAGGGCTGGCAGAGCTCTTTCAGATGTGATGTTGGGAAAAGCCTCTGGGAGGTGATGTTGAGGCTGAGTTGTGAATGGAGGTGGCCCTGGAGTGGAATGGAGTGTGGCATGTTCAAGGGTGGTCCATACCAGGCCTGCCTGGAGATCTGCCAGATTGACCGCAGACGAGGAGCCAATCCAGCAGAATGCTTGTTTTTCTGAAACGGCAGGAAGCGTGTGACACATGAGAAAGAAGTCGCTAGAGGCAGATGGGCCTGGATTTGATCCTGGCTCTGCCACTTGGAGCCCAAGACTTTGCTTCCTGCGCTCCCCCGTCTTCCTCTCAAAAGCTAGGCTTTGAGGCTTAAGGGAGTAACATGAATAACACTCCTGGTTCCCTGCCTGGCGCATGGGGGTTACCCTTGGCCTCAGGGAGGTGAGGCTGCCTGAGGGCCCTCTGGAAATGGCTGAGGAGCAAGGAAGGGCTCTGTCATCCATCTGCTCCCCTTGGAGCCGGAACCTGGACCGCAGGGGTTGCGGCGTGAGGCAGCAGTAGCAGAGATGAATGCATTTGCAAGCCACTGAACCTTACCTCTCAATGAAACAAGAGGAATCCATTAGTTATCAGCCACTGCAGCTGCTTCTCAGGAAACTGCTTTACCAGGGACTTCCTGTTCATTTCTCAAAGGCTGTGGTGTGATGTGAGGAGGACCAATGAAGGGGCTTTTTCAGGCCCAGCCCTGAGCCCTGACTTTGGCAGCTCCTCTGGCCTCTCCCAGGGACTTGTTCATTTTGCAGAGGCAGCCTGAGGCTCTGGTGGGGATGGCTTACCCCACCCAGAGAAGGCAAAGCTGGTCACCATTGCAACCCAGGCCTCCTCCCTGCCTGCCCCCAGGGCCTCCTCCCTGCCTGCACCCAAGGGCCTGAAACAGCACATCTCTTTTCCCTGAAAATACACTTGACCTGATCCTCTGCTACCATTCCTTTTCTGTCTGCTAGTGGGGTGCAGACATTTTTTTTAAAAAAAATCGTGGGCCCAGCTTTCTCCTGCACGAAGTGTTGCTTTGTCAGTCTGTTCTAGACACAAATAGAACAAAGACCAAGCAAAGAACCTGGTGCCAGGGATGCCCGTGAGGAGACGATGGGAGACTGGGAGTTACCCTTGGGAGATCTTTAAGTGTGGGGGTGAAGAGATATCCATGAGTGGTCAGTGCTTTCTCTACCTCCTCCCTTTTTTGACTTTGAAATTTTCCCAACATCCAGAAACGTGGGAAGAATAAGCAAACACCTGAGTATCCTCAGCCAAGATTCACCAGTTGTAACGTTTTGCCACTTTTGCATTTTTCATCTTTATACACGGGCAGTTTTGCTTTTGAAAAGAAGTTTCATGATTATGTGATCGCATTCCCTAAAGTCTTCATTATTTCATAAGAAAAAGAGGTGCTCTGACATAATCACAGTACTTTTGTCACATTTCAGAAAATTAATGGTAATTCCTTGATATAATCGCATATCTGGTCCATGTTCACTTTTTCTCATTCATCCCCCTTGTGTAACTCATTTTTTCCCCCCCTTTAAGTGAGAGCTTTTCAGATTAAAGAATTGCAGGGTGCTTTTTGTTTGTTTTTTGAGACAGAGTCTTACTCTGTGGCCCAGGCTGGAGCGCAGTGGCACAATCTTGGCTCACTGCAACCTCCGCCTCCTGGTGTCAAGGGATTCTCGTGCCTCAGACTCCTGAGTAGCTGGGACTACAGGTGTGCACCACCGTACCTGCCTAATTTTTGTATTTTTATTAAAGACGGGATTTCACCATGTTGCCCAGGCTGATCTGAAACTCCTAACCTCAGGCGATCCCCCTGCCTCGGCCTCCCAAAGTATTGGGATTACAGGTGTGAGCCACTGTGCCCAGCCTGTTTGTTTTTTGAGACAGGGTCTCACTCTGTTGCTCAGGCTGAAGTGCAGTGGTGTCATCAAGGCTTACTGTATCTTCCTGTCTCAGCCTCCGGAGTAACCAGGGTTATTGGTGCAGGACACCACACCTGGCTAATTTTGTTTATTTTTAGTAGAGACAGGGGTTTCGCTATGTTACTCAGGCTGGTCTTAAACTCCTGGCCTCAAGTGATCCTCCTGCCTCAGCCTCCCAAAGTGCTGGGATTACAGGCATGAGCCACTGCAACCGGTCAAGAGTTGTAGTTTTTATATCATTTTAGACTCTTTTAATCTAGACCATCTTTCCTTACTTTTTTTTTTTTTCTTTCACAAACCCGTATTTTTCTCCCCAGCTCCGCTGATTTTTCTGATTGTTTCTCATGGTGCAGCTTGACTGGTTCCTCAACCCTGCCAATGTCAGGGAGCTTGATTTGATGCAGATTTAAAAAGCATTCACCACCGGGACATTCTATTGCATGGTGCCGGCTCATCTCTAATAGAAATGCCAGATTTTTTATGAGATAATTCATGTAATATGCATCATATGTATAGAAAAAAGCTGGAAGGAAAAGTGCTGAAATATTAGTAATAGTGATCACTTTCTGGGTGATATTTATTTTCCTCTTCATTCTGCTGTGCTTTTTCTAACTTTGCCAAAACTCAGCACGTTTTTACTTTATAATTGGGAAAAAAGATGAAAATGCGCGTCGTTATAGCAGTGTTAAGAGTTTGGAAGGCAATGAAAATAAAGCAAGGTATAATCCAACTACCTTAACATGGATCATAATGGTCTAGCTCCTCCCAGGCTTTTTCAGGAATGCTTTTGACATAATTCTGTGTTTAGTTTTTGTCTGTGTGATCTCCTCAGCACCTTTCCAATGCCGTGGTAGCATTTGGTCTTGTTCTTTTCACTGATAACCCTGGACATGTGTGTGAGGAACTGACAAGAGATGGGGGATGGCGCGGTTTGTGCAGCCTGGTGCGCCTTCCTGGAGGGGCATCATTCCCCGACTTGCCCAAAGGCAGCCTGTGCATCTACCCACAACCCCTGGGAGAGTTTAGCGTGCCTGCGCCAGCACAGAAGCCCAGGTGGTGATTGCCACTGACGTTGGACACTGAGGGCTCTGTCCTGGAAAAATGCCGGAGACAGCATCTGGGGTCAGATCACAGGAGATGCCTTTCAGTGTCTGGTTGCACAGACAGAGCTGCTGCTGGAGCGCACTGTCCTCCCTGGGGCCTGAGAGCAGACAGAGGTCCGGTCTCAGGCTCACCACCGCCTTCTGCTCTCTAGGATGTCTTCCATGCCTTCCACCCTAACCTGAAATTCGTGCGCAAGTTCTTGAAACCCCTGCTTATTGGCGAGCTGGCCCCGGAGGAGCCCAGCCAGGACCGTGGCAAGAACGTGAGTGGGGCTTGCAACCTGCTTGGGGGTGGAGACAAGGCTGGGGGTGGCTGGGAGTCCGAGAGAGGGTCCCCTCACCCCAGGACCAGTAACTGGGGAGGAGGCAGGGGTGCCTTTGTCCTGGAGGAGCTACTGTGGATCACTTGCGGTCAGGGAGCATCTCAAAGCCTCCCAGGGAGCTGGGGTTTGACAACAGCGAGTGGTGTCTCCTGTCTCCTGGCCAGTTTTATTTTCCTTCTCCTCTATCCCTTTCCAGAAAGTTGCCAGATGACAATCTAGGGGAAAGACAGGACAGCCAGACATGGTGGCTCAAGCCTGTAATCCCAGCACTGTGGGGGAGGCTGAGGCGGGTGGATCACCTGAGGTCAGGAGTTCGAGACCAACCTGACCAACACGGAGAAACCCCGTCTCTATCAAAAACACAAAATAGCTGGGCATGGTGGCACACACCTGTAATCCCAGCTACTCGGGAGGCTGAGACAGGAGAATCACTTGAACCCAGGAGGCGGAGGTTGTGGTGAGCCAAGATCATGCCATCGCACCTGGGCAAAAAGAGTGAAAAAAAAAAAAAAAGACAGGACAGAAACACTGAAAAAGAGAATATCATTTGATACAGCGTGGCTTTGGGGTGTGTGGTCTGGGAGCACCTCTTTGAGAAAGAATGACCTTTCCCAGGTCGTTGGTTCATCACCTGCAGGCAGAGGCCCCACTTGGTGCGGGGCTTCCAGGACAGCAGTGTGTGAAAATAGCAACCTCTGCGGTCTCATGGCTGTTTTATTCAACAGTGAAGTCCCCATGTAAATGGTGGAGCACTGCACAGTGTCAGAGGGCCTCCAATATTCCCCTTGCTGTCCCTCTCCCCTCTTCCCTTCATCCCAACCTTCCCCTGCCCAAGTCTCCTTCCTGGGAAGTTGCTGGTTCTACCCTGGTCCTTTGTGGGGCCGAGGGCACCCATACCTGTTCCCTCCCCGCACCCATCTGGGCCAGCCTTGTCCCGGGCAGGGTGGACAATTCGCTCCTGTGCTTACCAGCATCTGACTGATGTAAGTCTGTGCTAGGCTCTGGCTAGGCCCGCTGTGACCCCAGGGTTGAGGCTGGCACTTTGGAAATTCTTCCCTGTCACCACCAGGCAGGACCCTGGACGCCATGTGGGGGCCTTGGTGCCAGCGAGGTGGCTGGGTCAGTTACTCACTCTGTTCTCGGGCCACGGTGGCTCCTGCTTGCCCCATGGGATGGCTCCTTCTGAGCTTCCTCCGATCTCCTGTTCAGAGCGGAGACTGGACTGAACTGGAGAAGTACCACCCTGGTGCCAGTCAGCCCTTCCTCCTCTTGTTTCCAGCCTGAGCTAGACCCCTCTGCTGAGCGGAGCCAGTCCAGGACCAGGCTCTCTCCTGGCCTGGACTCTTGGCCGGTCCCTTACCTCCCTCATTGCCTCTGGCTTTCCTGATGAGCTGCAGGCCACCCTGTGGGTCCTCTAGAGGCCAATGTTCCTCCTCTCAGCTGTCCCTCCAGGGCATACAAGACCGCCTGCCCTGAGCCCACCCCAACCCATGCTTGTTCCCTCTTGCCTACTTTGAAAGTGGGTCCATCTCCCCCCGGCAGCCCCAGCGCCTCCTGGCCTGCAGCTTTCCCAGCTCTGCTGGTCCTGTCCTGTAGCTGCCTCCTCCCTGGCCTTGCTCCTCGCCTGTCCACCACCCTCCCTCTCCGCTGCAGATCCTGCACCACTTAGAACCCAGCCTCCCAGATCTGGCTTCCTCCCACCAGGTGCCACCAAAACCACCCTTCGTAGCACCCTGGTCATGCCCTGTGGGTACCGCTCCCCCTCCTGGTAACTACCCTCCCTCACCTCTTTCCCTGCCCCTGCCTCCTGTCCCAAGTTCCTTCTTCCTTGCAATGCCGTCGTGTTCCCAGGGCCCTCCTTGACTCCACCTCGCCTCCCTGGCTCCACGTGCCTGGGACTCACAGCCTCCTTCCTGCCTCAGCTCTCCCTCCTGCACTAGTCTGAGTCTCCCCTGCCTCACCCCTCAAGACCCAACAGTGTGCACAGAGCAAGTGGAGCTCTGCTGAGTGCTGGAAAGTGCAAGTTTTCTTTCTTTCTTTCTTTTTTTTTTTTTTTTGAGATGGAGTCTCCCTCTTGTTGCCCAGGCGGGAGTGCAGTGACACAATCTCGGCTCACTGCAACCTCTGCCTCTCGGGTTCAAGTGATTCTCCTGTCTCAGCCTCCCAGGTAGCTGGGGTTATATGCGCCCATCACTACACCTGGCTAATTTTTGTATTTTTAGTAGAGACAGGGTTTCACCATGTTGGCCAGGCTGGTTTTGAACTCCTGACCTCAGGTGATCTACCTGCCTTGGCCACCCAAAGTGCTGGGATTAGTTTTCTTTTTTTAAAAAAGTGTGGTTAATCATTTTAATCATTTGGCGTGTACAGTTCAGTGACATTAAATAAGCACATTTACATTGTGATGAAACCATCACCTCCACCCGGTTTACATCTTTCCCAAACTGAAACTGCACACCCGTTAAACACTCACTCCTCATTCTTCCATCCCTCAGCCCTGGCTGCCACGCTTCTAATTTCTGTCTCTGAATTTGACCTCTCCCAGGACCTCCTGTGTATGGAATCACACAATATTTGTCCTTTGGTGACTGGCCTGTTTCCCTTAGCATGATGTCTTCAAAGTTCGCCTATGTTGTAACATGTGTCAGAATTTCCTCCCTTTTCAAGGCTGAGTAATATTCCATTGCATGGATAGACCATGTGTCGTTGATCCCTTCATCTGTCATGAGATCTTCGGGTGGTTTCTACCTTTTTCCTGTTGTGAATAGTGCTGCTATGAACACAGGGTGTACAAAATGCAAACTTTTGAGTCAAAGCCTTTCTCTGTCACTCTTACCTAGCTGTGACAAATACGTAGGCTTCAGGGCTGTGCGGGGCGTTGGGTAACAGCAGCCATTGCAGGGTCTCCTGCAGGGCCGAGGCTCATGGCTTGGTCCCCTCTTGCCACAGCTTTTCTGGGTTGTGGGTTGGCTGGTGGCTGACTCCTTTCCCTGTGCTCTTGGTCAACAGTCTCAGATCACTGAGGACTTCCGGGTCCTGAGGAAGACGGCTGAGGAGATGAACCTGTTCAAGACCAACCACATGTTCTTCTTCCTCCACCTGGCCCACATCGTTGCCTTGGAGAGCATTGGGTGGTTCACCATCTTTTACTTTGGCAATGGCTGGATTCCTACCCTCATCACAGCCTTTGTCCTTGCTACCTCTCAGGTGAGGCGTGACACCCTCACCCTCCCTAGCTGGCAGAGACTTGGTGCCTGTTAGCTGAGGCTGTGACAGCATGTGTGACCTTCTCTCCCCAGGCCCAAGCTGGATGGCTGCAACATGATTATGGCCACCTGTCTGTCTACAGGAAACCCATGTGGAACCACATTGCCCACAAATTCGTCATTGGCCACTTAAAGGTAAACGTCAGCAGCCTTGAGCATCTGTCCTGTTTGATAGCAGTTGAGACAAAGAGACCAGGACTCCTCTCTGCTCAGTGCTCCGAGGCTACAGGGTGACAAGGCAGCTGTGCCTATGGGTGCCTTATGCCACGGGCCATGGCAACCCTCCATTCTGCTGCCTTCTTGAGCCCTGTCCCTGGATCGGTTCCGACCCTCAAAGCCACAGTGTATTACTCATTACGAAGACAGGCACACTCCATTTTTGTCTGTTGGCCCAGTGGATTTTTTTTTGAGACAGAGTTTTGCTCTTGTTACCCAGGCTGGAGCGCAATGGTGCGATCTCGGCTCACCACAACCTCTGCCTCCTGGGTTCAGGCAATTCTCCTGCCTCAGCCTCCTGAGTAGCTGAGATTACAGGCATGCGCCACCATGCCCAGCTAATTTTTTTGGATTTTTAGTAGAGACGGTGTTTCACCATGTTGACCAGGATGGTCTCGATCTCTTGACCTCGTGATCCACCCGCCTCGGCCTCCCAAAGTGCTGGGATTACAGGCTTGAGCCACCACGCCTGGCCTGGCCCAGTGGATTTTATTGTTTGATGTTCCTTAGCTAAGGGCACATCTAACAAATCCGTTTTCATTTGGGTACAGTGAAGAGTAAAGTAGCAGTATTTTTTTTTTTTTTTTAGACGGAGTCTTGCTCTTGTCGCCCAGGCTGGAGTGCCATGGCACAATCTCAGCTCACTGCAACCTCTGCCTCCTGGGTTCAAGCGATTCTCCTGCCTCAGCTTCTTGAGTAGCTGGGATTACAGGCATGTACCACCACGTTCAGCTAATTTTTGTATTTTTAGTAGAGATTGGATTTTGCCCTTTTGGCCAGGCTAGTCTCGAGCTTCTGACCTGTGATCTGCCCTCCATGGCCTCCCAAAGTGCTAGGATTACAGGCATGAGTCACTGGGCCTGGCCAGTAGCAGTATCTTTTGATGAACTGGTATGCTTCCTTTCACCCGGGATGTGAATTCTTAAATACATTGTGCTGGGCGTGGTGGTGCACAGCTGTCATCCTAGCCATTAGGGAGGCTGAGGCAGGAGAATTGCTTGAGCCCAGGAATTTGAGACTAGCCTAGGCAACACAGTGAGACCCTACCTCTTAAAAAAAAAAAAAGAAAAGAAATACATTATGTTCCTCTCTTCCCCTCAGGAGCCAAGCAGCACAAAGCAGCATTGGAAACAGCTACTGTCTTTAGTCTGTGTTTTTGGTGTACGCATTCTCTCCTTCTTCATGGCGTGCAAGCTTTGATCTTTATTTTAGCCTTCTGTTCTATGTGAGTGCTTTATCTTAAGCCACTTTAAATACTCTTTAGAAATAAGTGGGGTACAAAAAGTAAATGTCATCCTATGAGGCCTCAGGTAGTGGACATCAAACTACGGAACGAACAGCTGGGCCAAAGGACTGTTGTGGTTAGCAGGGAAGGAGTTAAGGAAGTTCTGCCCTCACCTCCACCCGGAGGAGGAAGCAGACCAGAGGCTCAGCAGGTTTGTAGAAAGAGAAGCTGGGATTACCGACAGCCTTGTTTTGATCTGATAGGTCTTATCTCCTCAGTTCTGGAATGAGTCTTTGCCAACTTCCTCTCTGAAATAGATGTCCCCATCTCAGCCTGACGCAATAGTACTTGCTTCCTGGGAAAAGCTGGGTCTTAAAGACTCCATCCCTCCACACCCTGGTGAGGGAGGAGTTACCTGTCGGGTATAGCTTATCCCCTCTCCCACCCAGACCGCAGTGGGACCCTTGGCTTGCCAGCTGCAGGTCCCATCAGCGGCCAACCACCCCTGAGCTGGTCACCAGTTTCGCAGCGAGCAGCTTGCCTGGCGCTGAGCCTGCAGCAGCCTGAGAACCTGGTCTCTGTCCAGAATCTCAGGGGCAAAGGGAGAGCGCGCACATAGTGGAGCGCTTTGTTTCATTTTATACTCTCCTCTGTTGGATCAAACCCTCCTCAGTATGGCAGAGTAACATTTAACTCCTGACCCATGGGAGCCCCCACGCACTTAACAAAGATGGGCTGTGTCCTGCTTCTGGATTCTGGTCAGGGGCCGGGCAGGGGGGACCTTTCCTGTCCAATGGCCCTCAGTCCTTGAAGGGCCGCAGAGCACGGCTCTTGCATCAGGCGGGAGACGAGGCCAGGACAGAGGAGGACTGGTCTCCATGTAGAACGTGGATGACGGCAAACAAGGTCCTTGGGCTTGGGCATGTGGGCTCCATTCATGGCCGGCCAGCCCCTCCTGGCTGTGTCCTTGGTGCTGCGTCACAGAGCCAGGCCAAGGACATGGGCATGCTGCTCACTCAGGGGCCCCAGAGCAAGGAGGTCGCAGCTTGCCTGAAAGTGGCTCCAGCACTCGGCAGGTGCACAGCCATGCAGGCAAATCTTGGAGGTCTGTGTCTCTTCCCATCACTGGGGAAAAGGGGACTGGCTACAGGGAGGTCCACCAGGGCCTTGCCAACTCAGGTGTCTTAGCACAAGCTGGAGGGATCTGTGAGAAGGTTACCAGGGGCTATGAGAGGCTGGGACCCCTTCCTTACTGTTGGCTGCACTGCTAATAGGATTTCTTTTTCTTTTTTTTTTGAGATGGAGTCTTGCTCTGTCCCCAGGCTGGAGTGCAATGGCATGATCTTGGCTCACTTCAACCTCTGCCTCCCAGATTCAAGTGATTCTCCTGCCTCAGCTTCCAGAGTAGCTGGGATTACAGGCACAGGCCACCACGCCCAGCCAATTTTTGTATTTTTGGTAGAGAAGGGTTTCGCCATATTGGTCAGGCAGGTCTTGAACTCCTGACCTCATGATCTTCTGCCCACCTCAGCCTCCCACAGTGCTGGGATTATAGACATTAGCCCAGCTGCTAATGGGATTTCATGGGAGTTTTCCACATCCTGACCTTCTGTTTGCCTTCAGCCCATGTCATGCCCAGTGAACATTTTTTCCAGAGCGTGATCTTTTACAAAGATAATTTTGAGGGTAAAACTCTTGTAGTTCAGTATTGTGCTTAGGATAAAATCGGCCAGGTGCCAGTGGCTCACACCTATAACCTCTGCGCTTTGGGAGGTCAAGGCAGGAGGATCGCTTGAGGCCAAGAGTTTGAGACCAGTCTGGGCCATATAGCAAGACCCTGTCTCTACTAAAAATAAAAAAATTAGCCGGGAGTGGTGATGTATGCCTGTGGTCCCAGCTACTGGGGAGGCTGAGGCAGGAGGATGACTCGAGCCTGGGATTTCAAGGCTGCAGTGATCTGTGATGGCACCACTGCACTCCAGCATGGGTGACAGAATGAGACACTGTCTCTAAATAAATAAATGCAAGCTGGAAGGCCCAGTGCCATCTGGGTGCTCCATCTGGAGATGGACATCACCAGCCTTTCTGCAGCCTCAACTCAGGCCACCAGGGCCCAGACTGGGGTGAAGGAAGTGAGGCACTTGCCTACGGTGTAAAATCTACGGGGACACCAGACAAATTCAGTCCTCAAGAGAAATAATGTTTTAATGCAATATGGTTTTGTTTTTTGAGATGGAGTTTCACTCTTGTTGCCCAGGCCAAGAGTGATGTGATGACATGATCTCAGCTCACTGCAACCTCTGCCTCCTGGGTTCAAATGATCCTCCTGCCTCAGCCTCTCGAGTAGCTGGGATTATAGTTGTGTGCCACCATGCCCAGCTAATTTTTTTGTGTTTTTAGTAGAGACAGGGTTTCACCATGTTGGTAAGGCTGGTCTTGAACTCCTGACCTCAGGTGATCCACCTGCCTCAGCCTCCCAAAGTGCTGGGATTACAAGCGTGAACCACCACGCCTGGCTTGCAATATGTTTTTTAAAAAATCAAAATTGATGCAAAAAAATCCATGATGAGCAAAATATCAAAATTTTAAATAACAATCAGGACAACTGAGGCAAATGGAAAAACACGCACCCCTCTATACGTGTTTGTGTGTCATTTTTTTAATGGCTAATTTTTTTCCCAGAGCATTAAAGTAGTTGAAAAAATATTTAACAATTTAGAAGCTGGTGTATTGGAAGTCATAACATTCTAAGTGCAAATGCCAAAACAGTACTTATACTTTTACTAAAATTGAATGTAATTAAAAATTAGTTAAGGCTGGACAAGTTTGCTTGGCTGGGTGTGATGGCTCATGCCTGTCAGCACTTTGGGAGGCTGAGGCAGGTGCATCACTTAAGGTTAGGAGTTTGAGACCAGCCTGGGCAACATGGTGAAACCCTGTCTCTACTAAAAATACAAAAATTAGCTGGGCGAGGTGGTGCGCCTGTAATCCCAGCTGCTTGGGAGGCTGAGACAGGAGAATCGCTTGAGGCGGAGGTTGCAGTGAGCCGAGATCGTGCCACTGCACTTCAGCCTGGGTGACTGAATGAGACTCCAACTCAAAAAATTAAAAATAAAAATAAAAATTATTTAAGCTCTTCACTTGATTGACAAATCATCAAACTCAGCAATTCTTTTTGCTGAAAACAAGATGAGGCAAAAAGCGGACTTTGAAAATATTATCGATGAATTTGCTACCATTAAAACCAAGAGTACACTTTTTTTTTTTTTTTTTTTTTTTGCCTCAGGCGCTGATATGGCTCCGCCCAGCATTGCTGGTTACAGTTATACCAAAGAGCTTTCCTCTGGCTTCTGGAACATTCCACACTCCCCCTTCCCCTCCCAGGGCCTCCCCTAGGCTCTTCCCTCTGCTAGGAAGGCAGCCCTTACTCTGCCTGGCCACTTTCTCTAGTGGGGTGGATGCTTAGCTTTCCTGGCCCTAGCTCAGTTCGAGTTTGGTGTGATGATGCCAGACCCTCCCTCGCAGCTCCGTAAGAACAAGGGTTTGGTCTCTTTGTCACTCTAACCTTCACAGGGTTATTTAGTGACACTTGTAGCAAGTATCACTCTTGGTTATTTAGAGACATCTCACTCTGTCACACATGCTGCAGTGCGGTGGTGCCATTACAGGTCACTGTGCCGGGGCAGAGCACAGCGGCCGGCTTAGGGTAAGCGACATCTGACCACATTCTGGGAAAATGAGACTGGCCACTGGTCCGGGGCAGGACGGGCTTCTAGGTGCCCAGAAGGACAAGCAGGGCCTCACCTTGCAAAGAAGAATGGAAGAGAATCACAGCAGAGCAGTAGCATGAACAAAAACTGCTTTCATTTCATCTCATCCTGCGTCCAGGGAGAGCCGGGACTGCCCCACCTCACTGGCTCCTTGTTCTCAGCCCATCTTGCTTTCCTCCATTTATTCACTCAACAAACGTCTCCGAGCTGGGATCTTCCAAACATCATGCTTACTTGTTTCACGCCTTGCTCCTCCAGTTTGTGCCAGAGATTTTTCCATTTGATTTTTCCCAGGAATTTTGTTCCTTTTTTTTTTTTTTGAGATGGAGTTTCACTCTTGTTGCCCAGACTAGAGTGCAGTGGCGTGATCTTGGCTCACCACAACCTCCACCTCTCGGGTTCAAGCGATTCTCCTGCCTCAGCCTCCTGAGTAGTTGGGATTACAGGTATGTGCCACCATGCCTGGTTAATTTTATATTTTTAGTAGCGAGGGGGTTTCTCCATGTTGGTCAGGCTGGTCTCGAACTCCCAACTTCAGGTGACCCACCTGCCTCAACCTCCCAAAGTGCTGGGATTACAGGCGTGAGCCACTGTGCCCGGCCTTTGTTCCTTTCGACAAACAGACACAAATGTGTCATTTGATTCCTCAAGCCTCTAAGCATTTTTTTTTTTTTTTTGAGACGCAGTTTTGCTTTGTTGCCCAGGCTAAAGTGCAGTGGTGAAATCTCAGCTCGCTGCAGCCTCTGCTTCGCAGATTCACAGAATTTTCCTGTCTCAGACTCCTGAGTAGCTGAGATTACAGGTGCCTGACACCATCCTCAGATAATTTTTGTAGTTTTAGTAGAGACAAGGTTTCCTCATGTTGACCAGGCTGGTCTTGAACTCCTGACCTCTAGTGATCCATCTGCCTCGGCCTCCCAAAGTGAAGGCTCTAAGCTTTCACTCTCTGACTTTTTTTCTATCTCTCGTGGGTTTTGAGGCCTGCCTGTTTCCAGGGGCCTGCGATCACGGCAAAGGTCATAGCTGTCCATTGCTGTTCCCACCCATGGCTGTTAGTGTCCATAGACCGTACTTGTGCCAAAAGCATCTTCCAAGTAAAATGTTTGTTTAGCAGATTGGACTTTTTTTTTTTTTTTTTTTTTGAGACAGAGTCTCATTCTGTCTTCAGGCTGGAGTGCAGCAGCGCCATCTCAGCTCACTGCAACCTCTGACTCCCTTCTTCAAGCAATTCTCCTACCTCAGCCTCCCGAGTAACTGGGATTACAGGCACGCACCACCATACCCAGCTAATTTTTGTATTTTCAGTAGAGACGGGGTTTCCCATGTTGGCCAGGATGGTCTCAATCTCCTGACCTCATGATCCACTGCCTCAGCCTCCCAAAGTGCTGGGATTACAGGCGTGAGCCACCAGGTCCAGCCAGCAGCGTGGTCTTTTTTGCAGACCCTTAGTCAAAGCACTGATCCAGCAACAGTTCACTAGGATAGTTGTGATGCTGAAGGGTCAGGAAAGTATGTTTTCTTTCTTCTGTCGCTGGGCAACTTTGTTGAGGGCTGTGCCTCTCAAGAGCTTGAGCTGAGGGGACGGAAATATGTGGCCTCAAAAGAAACACCCATGTTACGCGTCATGTCTCATGGAATCCTGTTTAAGTGTTAGAAGCAGGAAAGCTCTTCTGGTTCATGTTAGCGGTTGTTTGTTAAGGCCCCCCTCCCGCCTTCGGGGTGTGACATGAATCTCAGGACCCACCCTCAGCATAGTAGCACAACTGTGCTCTCCAAGAGCAGGGGCCACTTGTAATCTCCTTTATTATTATTATTTTATTTATTTATTTATTTTTTTTTTTTGAGACGGAGTTTCGCCCTTGTTACCCAGACTGGAGTGCAATGGCGCGATCTCGGCTCACCGCAACCTCCGCCTCCTGGGGTCAGGCAATTCTCCTGCCTCAGCCTCCTGAGTAGCTGGGATTACAGGCACGCACCACCATGCCCAGCTAATGTTTTGTATTTTTGGTAGAGACGGGGTTTCACCATGTTGACCAGGATGGTCTCGATCTCTCGACCTCGTGATCCACCCGCCTCGGCCTCCCAAAGTGCTGGGATTACAGGCTTGAGCCACCGCGCCCGGCTCTCCTTTATTTTTGTTTGTTAAAAATGCTCTGGTCGAGTGCAGTGGCTCACACCTGTAATCCCAGCACTTTGGGAGGAGGCCAAGGTGGGCTGATCACGGAGTCAGGAGATTGAGAGCATCCTGGCTAACACGGTGAAACTTCGTCTCTTCTAAAAATACAAAAAATTAGCTGGGCATGGTGGCATGCGCCTGTAGTCCCATCTACTTGGGAGTCTGAGGCAGGAGAATCGCTTGAACCCAGGAGGTGGAGGTTGCAGTGAGCGGAGATCGTGCCACTGCACTCCAGCCTGGGCAACAGAGCAAGACTCTGTCTCAGAAAAGAAAAAGCTTTATTGAGACACAGTTCTCCCCGCTACTTTTTTTTTTTTTTTTTTTCAATAGAGTTTTGCTCTGTCACTCAGGCTGGAGTGCCGTGGTATGATCTTGGCTCACGGTGACCTCCACCTCCCGGGTTCAAGTGATTCTCCTGCCTCAGACTCTGGAGTAGCTGAGATTATAGGCACCTGCCACTAAGCCCAGCTAACTTTCATATTTTTAGTAGAGATGGGGTTTTACCATGTTGCCCAGGCTGGTCTCAAACTCCTGACCTTCAGTGATCCACCCACTCTGCCTCCCAAAGTGCTGGGATTACAGGGGCGAGCCACCGTGCCCAGCCAGTTTTCCCATTTCAAGTAGACAAATCAGTGATTTTTAGTACATTCACAGATGTATGCAACCATCATCATAGTCAATTTTCGAGCATCGTCATTAGGCTCAAAAGAAACCCCACATCTCTTAGCCATCACACCCCAGCCCCCTCACGCCCTCCCCCACCCCAGTCCTAGCCCCATACAACCGCTAATCTTTCTGTCTCTATAGATTTCCCTACTCTGAATGTTTCATGTCACTGGAATCATGCAATATGTGGTCTTTTGTGGCTGCTGCTTTCTCTTTGCACGTTTGCAGGCTCACCCGTGTTGTAGCAGGTGTCAGTGATTCGTTCTGCTTATGGCACAGCCAAACAAGAGTCTGTTGTGTGGAGAATCCGCGTTTCATTCATCCCTCATCTGCCGATGGACACTTGGTGCTGCTTTTGCTTTTTCGGCTCCTTTGAAGCATGCTCATATGAACACTCCTCTATGAATTTGTGTGTGGACATGTTTTCATTTCTCTAGGATATACACTCCGGAGGGAGATTTCTGGGTCACATGGTAGAGACCACTTCTCGCTGTCTCTGAAACCCAGGCTTTACCTTGCACAGCCCTGGCTTCACACCTGGGGGCGGAGAGGCAGAGACCAGCTCCCACACCTGCTGGAGCACTCACCACGTGGTCCCACAGCAGCACACCTCGCCCGCCATCATTGTCTTATGATTGGGGAAACTGAAGCCTAGAGAGAGAACGTGACTTGACTCCATCTGGGGCTGGCCTATGCTCTGAGCTCAGTCGTGGCAGGGCTGGATTCTGACTTTATGGGGGTCCGAGTTGCTGTCCCCAAGGGCTGAAGGTGCAGGGAACTGGTCCCAAGCAGGGCCTGTCACAGACAAGCTCAGTTCCCTGGTGGCCCGCATGGCTCATCCCAAGCCCTCTGTCCCCACAGGGTGCCTCCGCCAACTGGTGGAATCATCGCCACTTCCAGCACCACGCCAAGCCTAACGTCTTCCAGAAGGATCCCGACGTGAACATGCTGCACACGTTCGTCCTGGGCAGATGGCAGCCCATCGAGGTACGACAAAGGGGATGGTGTTGACCTAGGAAGTGTTTGGCCTGAGCAGGGAGCGAGGAAAGAAGCCTGGAGGGCTGACGGTCAGCCAGGCAGGTCCACGTCTCCTGCGCACTGATACCTTTCCCAGGCACCCTGAATAGTTCCGGCTGGAATATATCTTTCCCAGGCACCTTGAACTGTTCCAGCTGGAATATATGTGGAATGGTCTCACCTGTAAATACTGGAGGCAACTCTTTATTAGAATGGTAGATGCCTCCCTCCCACCCATAGGCCAGGAAAGTCATTTTCTAGCTTGTTTCTTCCCAGGTAGAGGGAAATCTTGTTCCAGTTCAGCAGGAAGACAGGATTTCAGGGCTCAAGCTTGGACACCACCTGACTAGCTCATGTTGAGGAAGCCTTACTCAGGGAACCATCATCCTGTGCATTGGAAGGAGCCTCATCATGGCTTGGTGCAACCTGCTTCACCAGTAGATGAGAAATAGAAGGTCAGCAAGAGGATGGGACACTTTCAGGGTCACATAATTTTTTTTTTTTCTCTGAAACAGAGTCTTACTCTGTTGCCCAGAGCTGGAGTGCAATGGCATGATCTCAGCTCACTGCAACCTCTGCCTCCTGGGTTCAAGCAATCTCAGCCTCCTGAGTAGCTGGAATTATGGCGTGTGCCGCCACTTCGGGCTAATTTTTGTATTTTTAGTAGAGACAGGGATTCACCATGTTGACCAGGCTAATCTTGAACTCATGACCCTGTGATCTGCCTGCCTTTAGAGTAAAGCCTCTATGTCAGGGTGAAATTTCCAAGAAAAAAATACGCATGCGCTGCTTTTTGGAAATACATTAATGATGAAAATGAAAGTTCAGAAGATGCTTGTTGCTTTTATGCAGATCTTAGGAGCCACAAAACCATGGATAGAGTAGGGTTCAATCAGCATTTGCCAAGTGAGGCCAATTTTCCCTCACTAAAGCATGGTGTCATGCATGAGTGAAGTGGTATTCCCGACAGCGCCTAAGGCTTGGAACAAGGCAAGGAGACAGCCTGGTTCCCTTGTTTGTACTCCCCGTTCTGATTTCATTCCCACCTGTGAGAATATCTGAGCAGAAACGTGGATTTTCTGTGACATGGCCAATTCGCAGGAAATTAGCCATGGTTCTGTACTTTGGAAGCCTCTCTGGGCTGCCAGGGATTCTATTTTCTGCCAAAGTGCATGCCATTGTTATTCTTCTAGGAAACAGTTTGGCAGCTGTGATCAGAGGTGTCTAGATAATGGAACTGATGAACTTGGGGCCTTCTGATAAGCGGGAACAAAGGCTTCGCTTTCTCGGGGAGGCTTTGTGGTGTGAAGCCGTCAGCTGTCATGACAGCTGTTCTCTGTGTCTCTAACAAAGAAAGTCCAGTCCCACCGGCCGCACTGGCAAGAAAGGCATCTTTCCTGTGCGTGGTGGCCAGCAAGTCTCTCCTTTCCCACACCTTCTCACCCCCGACACTTCTGCAATGCTGGCTTTGGGGCAGGACGCAGGGGTGGGAGGGTATGGGGATCTGGTGGTCCAGTTACCAGTGGCATTTGGAAGTCCGCGGCGAGTACTCGGTGTTCCGTGGAAATCCCCCTCTCACTCACAGGGAAAGGGTCGGTGCTTCCCGGGTTCCTGGCTGACCTGTGCTCTGGTTCTCATGGGACCCGGCTGCCCTGGAAGGAACTCTTGTCTCTTGATTGAAATGACAGTGGTTCTGATGGAACTTGTCACATGCCAGTCCCACGTGCCACAGCAGGACCAGGTGGGGGTGGCCAGGCCTCAGGGTCTCAAGCCACCGTAACAGTCTCCAGAGCCAGGGCTCCTATCTCTAGGCACAGATAAGCAAAGCTGCCCAGCCAGGTGGCTCCCAGAACGCAGAACTGTGAACAGCGTGGGCTAGGCAGTAAAGCCCTTTTCCTTGTTTTCTGCCTTTTGGTGTTTTTTTTTTAGACGGAGTCTCGCACTGCCGCCCGGGCTGGAGTGCACTGGTGTGATCTCTGCTCATTGCAACCTCTGCCTCCTGGGTTCAAGCGATTCTCCTGCCTTAGCCTCCCAAGTAGGTGGGATTACAGGCACACACTGCCACACCGAATCCTTGTATTTTTAGTAGAGACGGGTTTCACCATGTTGGCCAGGCTGGTGTCCAACTCCTGACCTCAAGCGACCCGCCCGCCTCAGCCTCCCGAAGTGCTGGGGTTACAGTCGTGAACCACTGCGCCTGGCAAGGTCTGTATTTCTATATATGTCTTATGGATGTTTCTTTTAAAACACAATCCTTTTACATTTTGTATTTTTGTCATCATGATTGCAGGTTCTGCAGTACTCAGGAAAGCAGTTGATATTCGGGTAGTCATGTTAGTTTTCTTTTTGTTTTTTGTTTGCATGGCCTTCCAGTGAATGGGGTCGTTCTCTTTTGTCCCGCTAGTGTCCCCTTATGTCTCTTCATGATTCTAGTTGTGTTTCAGTTGATTCTTTTGAGTTTCCTGGGTAGATGATCATATTCTAGAAAATAATGAAAACATAGTCTCTCCTTTCTTTCTTTCTTTTTCTTTCTTTCCTTCCTTCCTTCCTTTCTCTCTCTCTCTCTTTCTTTCATTTCTTCTTTCCCTCCTTCCCTCCCTCCCTCCCTCCCTTCCTTTCTTCTTTCCTCCTCCCCCCTCCCTCGTTCCCTCCTGCCACCTCTGTGGCTCTGCTTGTCCGAAGCTAAGCCCTGGCCTTCATGCTTCAGGCGAACTTCATGAACAGGCCAAAGCCAACCGTCCTGCCTTGGGACACCCATGCCACCCTCTCAGGGCCCTTAGACGGGGACCTTGCCATTCTGCTCCGGCTGGGGAGGCCGTGCCGCCTGCTTCTCTCCGTCTGTGAGTTTGTAGGTTCCCAGAGGCAGAGACTGGGCTTTGGGACAGCTCCCCTCCCTCCACCCTCTATGGACAAGGAAGTCCCTTGTCATTCCTCAGACATTTTGTTCCAAAGCTGAAAGGTCCCCTCCACATGGCCTGGCGTCCCCTGGGCCCTCATCCAAGCCTGGCCTTGTGGTGCATGGAGAGGCCGAGGACAGGAGAGTCAGCCCTGCCACCGGGGGCTGGCCGCCCTCCCTCCCTTGCCCCAGCCACCCTCCCCCGCTTGCCCCTAGCCTGCATCTCCGGCTACCAGCCGCAGCCTGGGAACCCGCTGTCCCTGGTCACAGGGAGGTCCGTGTGTGCCACCATCTCCTTCTTGGGGTCTGGCCACACGCCACCCACACCTTGCCCGCAGCCCAGCCAGATGAAAGTCGTGTATGTCTTCCTTGCCTCCTGGGCTTTCTCTGTGTGTGTGACAGACATTCCTCAGGAAGAGGAGAGGTATGGGTCCTTCACTCCCCACATCTGGGGCTCTGAGCCCCCAGTTGGGAAGAAGCGTGACTCTGGTTGAGTGAGTCTATGGGCTGGGCACCTCCATGAGCATTACTTAGTCCTTGCTTAACTCGTGAGGCGGGAGCTATCATTGACCCCTTTCATGGATGGAACAACTAAGGCCAAGAGACATGAAGTGACTTGTTCGGGGTAACAGCCAGGAAGAGGTCACACCACTGTCCAAACCTAAACTGTTTAGCTGCAAGTCACAGCTTCAGAGTCCTGGGGGCCCTTGGGGAATGCTTTAGTTGGGCAGCCCAGCTTTCTGATAAATGAAAGAGCCAGGCACTCACCCCCTAGCTTGGTACATTCTGAAATACTTCTCCCTCCCTTCCCTGCTCCCAAGACTCAAATGACAAAGCGCTGGGAAAGAACTGAGCGTGGGAAAGATGAGAGCCAAGAGTTAGCCACAGGGCAGGGCTTCATATCCCAAGCCCACAGTTGTACTTTCTGCTTTCGGAGGGGAGTACTGGTCATCCCAGCAGACCCACTGCAGCTGAGGCCATCGAGATGGGTACAGATGTGGGGTGGTATGTCACCACGCACACATACACACACATGTGTGACTGTGATGAGTATTCTGCTTAGCATCACTCAGGCCTGCTGCTGCCTGGCAAGCAGGGCCTCCTGGGTCCCGAGGGTTATTCTGGGGCATCGAAGGGGCGCACACCAGAGCCAGCAGTGTTTAACCAGCAGAGGCGGCCCCTGTACCCTCTGTCATCCCCCCAAAGACCACCATCTCCCATGAGAACTGGGCGCCTGGTGTGCACGTGCAGCTCCAGACAGACTCTCCAGGTGCCTCCCAGGCTCCCACAGCAACGTGGCCAGCCCACGGTCCCTCTGTGGGGTGCCCTGGCCCCTGCTGACCTGCCTGGGCTGCCTTCTGTGTTCACTTCCGAGTCCAGCCGGCCCGGCCCGAGAGGACGGGTGCCCTGTGGGACAGAGATGTGGTGGGAGGCGTTCTTGGCCAGAGTTGGAGGCACAGCACACCAAGGCTGGGCTGTAAGCCTGCTCCCTGGCTTCTCCCAGAGAAGCTTCCAGTGGGACCCAGGGGCCTGTTCTGTGGGCCACTGCAGGCCCCCGAGACTGGCACCTTGGGGGCACTGTCCCCAGTGCTGGCTCCTCCAGCGCCTCTGTCCACTGGAGACCCATGAAAGGCTCCTCCAAGGCGCCCCTGGCTCGGGCCTCACCACAGCCAGCCTCAGCCCTGGCCCTAATGATAGTCCTCCTGCAAGTGGCCGTGCTTTCTGGGAATGAGGGAGCTCCTGGCCAAGGCTAAGGAGGCCACACAGAACAAAGGGACTCACCGCTTCTGGGGTTCTTCGTCTGGGTGTGCTGTGACCATGGCCATTGGTGCCAAGATGCAAACCTTGGGGCAGGATGGACCTGGGTCCCAACCACAGCCTCTTCCCTCAGGAGTCCATGCTTTCCCTGTGATTTGGACAATACTTCCCTCTGTGTTCGCACCTGGATGACGAGGCACTGGCCTGGGCACCATCCTCTGTAACTCACTTTGACCTCCTGACTGCAAAAAGCAGAACCGGAGACTATTGGAGGAGGCAACTCTGGCCTTTGGATCCAGGGGTATGGGGAGGGTGATGGGCGGTGTCCTGGGGTCAGCTCTTGGCACTTATGCCCATGCTCTCATCGGCTCCTCTTACCAACTATGATTTGGATGCCAGACAAGACTCGGCAAGGCTAAGGGACTCAGTCTCAGCACAGGTCAGAGGCTGAGTCAGATCATGCGCATCTGCTGGCTCCAAGCTCAGCCTCCCCGCATTGCAAGCAAGAGGAGCAGGTGCCACTCAGTGAGCGGCTTCTTATGGTTTCAGTCCCAAGAGAGCAGTGTGGGTTGGTTTCTAGGGGCTGGACAGTGGAACTAAGGGCTCCAGAGATCCCCCGGAGCCATGGTTCCTATGCCTGGCTCACACGGACCGAGTGGTCTGAGTGACTTTGGACAATGACAACGCCCAGGACCCAGGCCAGCCCTCCTCCATCATAGCCACTGGGCATCAGGCTGCCCAAGGCGCAGGCTTTGATGGGGAAGGAACCAGTGCCCTCGTGGGGACCTCAGGTAGCCAGATGTGACCTGAGGAGTCTGTGCCGTGGCCCACTCTGCTCTGTCCTCGAGGTTAGGCTCCAGCTGGGGGGAGTGATTCACTTTTGGAAATTACATGGAGGCTCCAGGGAGGTAGATGCTCCCAGCCTCATGACCAGCAGCAATTCTGGGGCCGTTACCTAGCTTCTCCCTGCCACTGTGGGCTCCGGGAGCTCTCCATGGCGACCTAGGAGCTCCCCTGGGTGCTCATGCCCCACTGAGAGTTGCTCTGTTGCATATTCATTCAACAAACATTTATTTAGTGCCTGTCACATGGGCTCAGAGTCAGCTCTTTTGGTTCTGATTCCAGCCAGGGCGACTTCCTGTGGCCTTGCGCCCTGGCTTAACGCTGAGCCTCAGCCTCAGAAGCGCCGGCCTTGTGGAGGATTGATGCTACTGGGCCAGCACTCAGCTAGGGCTGAGGAAGCGTTGGCGGCTGCTGGCTGCAGCCTGGGGAGCCCAGAGGGCTGGAGGGGCTCCAGGCTTGGTGGGCCCAGGGTGCAGATTGACAGGGATGGTGGCCAAGCAGAGAGAAGGGATGGTGGCTGCAGGGCGGATCAGGGAGCATGGGAGGCTGGGAGCCAAGGCTTCTGGGTGCTCATGATCTCTCCTCTCTCCTCAGTACGGCAAGAAGAAGCTGAAATACCTGCCCTACAATCACCAGCACGAATACTTCTTCCTGAGTGAGTGCTCAGTGCCCGGAAACCACTCCCGAACCCTTCCCTCCCCCCAGAGTGGCATCTCTCTCCCTCTTACCTGCCACCCTTTGCAGATCCAGAAAGGGACACTAAACTTGTTAGAAGTGGGGGCCATAGCAGCCGTCCGCTGCAGACCCCCTGAGCCCATGTTACAGGCCAGGCGGGGACACAGAAGCTCAGAGAGTCCCAGGAGTGGTGCACAGGAGCCTCAGGGGTTCCCAGCCTTCTCTGCAGTCCCTGGGGCCCCTGGCCGCTTCTGCCCATGTCTGCAGGGCTGGCCCTACGCTCAGTGCTGGGCCCAGGTTCCCCCTTCTGGCACAGGCAGGGCAGGATGGATCCCTCTAAGCTCCTGTCTCTCTCCTGCAGTTGGGCCGCCGCTGCTAATCCCTGTGTATTTCCAGTACCAGATCTTCATGACCATGATCTCCCGCAAGGACTGGGTGGTGAGTCGGGGGCACAGCTGGCTTGGCGTTGGGAGGGGGTGACTGGCACAGGTGGACCAGGGGTCCTATGCTGTCTCCCTGTGTGTCTTGGTGGAGCCTGCGGGGCCCGAGGCATCTCCTCCCTGGGGTAGCGGTCTTGTCGCTCTCAGGAAAGGACTCCCTCTGGGGCCACCAGGGGCCAGTCCTAAAGATCTCTACTCTCAGCCAGGCGTAGTGGCTCATGCCTGTAATCCCAGCACTTTGGGAGACCAAAGTGGGTGGATCACAAGGTCAGGAGTTGGAGACCAACCTGACCAACATGGAGAAACCCGTCTCCACTAAAATACAAGAATTAGCCGGGCATGGTGGCACGCGCCTGTAACCCAAGCTACTTGGGAGGCTGAGTTAGGAGAATAGCTTGAACCTGGGAGGTGGAGGTTGCAATGAGCCGAGATCATGCAACTGCACTCCAGCTTGGGCGACAAAACAGACACTGTCTCAAAAAAAAAAAGACCTCTACTCTCCCTTAGACACAGGGAGTCCACCAGGGCAGCTCCTGCTTTTGCAGAGCCTCCCAGAAAGTTCTCAAAGGCAGTGTGATGAGAGGCAAGCGTAGCCATCCCCCTTCCCCACTCCCTGTGGGCCCTGAGGCCCACGAACCGGGTCGCCGCACACCATGGTTGGAAAATAGGGAGCAGCTGGGCGTTGGCTGAGATGACAGGTGTGTTCATTTGCAAAGACTGTGTGACAAAGTACCATGAACTAAGTGATGTAAGCAGCAGCGATGTGTTTTCTCCTAGTTCTGGAGACTGGAAGTCCAAAACTGAGGTGTTAGTGGGGTGGATTCTTTAGGGCTCTGGAAGACTCTGTTCTGGGCTCTCTTTGGCTGGTTGATGGCTTTCATCCTCCTGCTCTGTACATCATCTCTCTGCATATCTGTATCTGTGCCCAAATTTCCCTCTTTAAAAAAAATTATTTTGTCGTTTATTTATTTATAGGCTGGGTGCAGTGGCTCAGTCTATAAATAAATAATCACTTGACTCGGGAGGTGGAGTGCTGAGGGAGGCTGAGGCGGGTGAATCACAAGGTCAGAAGTTCAAGACCAGTCTGGCCAACGTAGTGAAACTCGGTCTCTACTAAAAATACAAAAAATTAGTTGGGCATGGTGGCGCATGCCTGTTGTCCCAGCTACTCGGGAGGCTGAGGCAGGAGAATCGCTTGAATCCGGGAGGTGGAGGTTGCTGTGAGCCGAGATCTCACCGCTGCATTCCAGCTTGGGTAACAGAGTGAGACTTCATCTCAAAAACAAGCAAACAAACAAACAAAACAAAAAACTGTCTGTATTTATTTATTTATTGAGACAGAGTCTCGCTGTGCCACCCAGGCTAGAGTGCAGTGGTGTGATCTTGGTCACTGTAGACTCCACCTCCCGGGTTCAAGCGATTCTGTGCCTCAGCCTCCCAAGGACCTGGGATTGCAGGCGTCGGCCGCCACGCCCAGCTAATTTTTGTATTTGTAGTAGAGATGGGGTTTTTCCATGTTGGCCAGGCTGGTCTCGAACTCCTGACCTCAAGTGATCTGCCCACCTCAGCCTCCCAAGTGCTGGAATTACAGGCATGAGCCACCATGCCCGGCCTATTTTCTAATTTTCTTTTCTCTTCACCCAAAGCAGATACTTGAAAATTTTCCTTTTTTAAAATAGGGACATCCGTCATACCGCTTTGGGGGCCATTGTAATGACATCATCTTTACTAGTTATATCTTCAATGACCCTATTTCCAAATAAGGTCATATTCTGAGGTAGTGGGGCTGAGGACTCCAACATGTGAATTTTGTAGGGGACACAGTCCAACTCGAAACAACAGGCTTACAGAGTCTCCTGATTTTCTTTCTCCTGAGAGAGAAAGGCCCTGGCAGCAGGACTGACCAGCGTGGTGCAGGAAGTGGGCCCTTGGCTTTCTGTAGATGTACAGTCCCAATTCTGTGTAAGACCATAATATGCCCACGACGGAGCTGTCACCACAGTCAGAGTGGCGTTCATAGTGACAGGGGTTTGGTGCCTCCCCTTGGGAGAAAATAGATGAGGGCATAGTTGCTCAGTACGTATCGCTGGTGGGTTTTTTTGTTTGTCTTTGAGATGGAGTCTTGCTCTGTTGCCCAGGCTAGCGTACAGTGGCACGATCTCGGCTCACTGCAACCTCCACCTCCTGGGTCAAGTGATTCTCCTACCTCAGCCTCCTGAGTAGCTGGGACTGCAGATGCCCGCTACCACGACCGGCTCATTTTTGTATTTTTAGTAGAGGCAAGGTTTCACCATTTTGGCCAGACTGGTCTTGCACTCCTGACCTCAGGTGATATGCCTGCCTTGGCCTCTCAAAGTGCTGGGATTACAGGCGTGAGACACCACGTCCGGCCAGTTTCACACGTGAAGATATTGTGCCTTGCCGAAGGTGACACCCACGAGAGGGGTGGCCTCCTGATGCTGGGTCCTGTTCTCTCCCCCACAGCCCAGCCCGTTCTATCTCCTTCACATAACAATACCTCATATTTGTAGATCATTTTAAAGGCTTCAAAGTGCCTGTTCTTAACATTGTCTCATTGAAATTACCGGCAAAGGGGTCGCGTCTACGATCCTGCCAGGAGGGCCCAGGCTGGGGCTGGAGCGGATGGGGGTGGTGGGGGAAGAGGAGGGACTCTGGAAGCCTCTGCCAGCCTTGTCCTGGTAGAGCCTGTACATTTGTACATGCTCGATTCCAGGATGTGCTAGTTCCTCAAAAGCCAGCATTTCATCCGTTTTTTCCATGTTCCAGGAACAGGGAGTCTGCCACCTGATGTCATTTAACCCTGTTTCACTAACGAGGTCTGTGAGCACTAAAGGGTCAGAGAGACCCACCCAAAGTTTCTGGATCCGCTCTGAGGCCAGAATGTGAACTGAACGCGCGTCTCCCCACCTGCCGCAGCTGCCCTTTTCCGTGGGGCTCCCCTGGCTCCCTCGGAAGAGTCACCGGAGCCCTGCTGTGCTGGGCAGGGCCACTGCGGGGGGTGTTTCTCATCAGCTTTTATGGCAGGTGTATGTAAATAAATATAACTTTTTTGTTGGTTTTTTACCTGTGCTTGTTCCGTAAGGAACAAAGCATTAAACAGGAAAAGAAATCACACTCTGTTCCTAAAACGGCATGGCAGAGCGGACAGATGATGAGCCCCCGGGGCTTTGAGGGCCAGGATCGCACCTATGACCAGCAGGACTGGTTCTCAGCAGAGCTGTTCTGCCCTTTGGCAGTATCTAGAGACACTTTTTCTTTCTTTTTTTTTTTTTTTTCCGAGACGGAATCTCTGTTGCCAGGCTGGAGTGCAGTGGCCCGATCTCCACTCGCTGCAACCTCTGCCTCCTGGGTTCAAGCAATTCTCCTGCCTCAGCCTCCTAAGTATCTGGGACTATAGGTACCCACCACCATGGCCAGCTAATTTTTGCATTTTTAGTAGAGACGAGTTTTCACCATGTTAGCCAGGCTGGTCTCAATCTTTTGAACTTGTGATCCACCCCGCCTCGGCCTCCTAAAGTGCTGGGAGATTATAGGCGTGGAGATACTTTTGATTGTCGCAACAGATGCCAGAAGGAGGGTGCCCCTGGCGTCTGGTGAGCTTCTAGCCAGGATAGTACCAAGCACCCTGCCATGCCCTGTAGAACCTCCCAGGACAACAAGCAGCCTGTCCCAGGTGCCAATAGTGTGGAGTTGGGGGACCCTGGCTTAGAGGAAAGAGGTGATAAACCCTCAGAACTTTGAAGAAGGCTTCCTGGCGTGGAGGGGGTGGGGGTATGGGGGCGTTTACACTCTCTGGCAAATTCCCTGGAACTTGGGATTCTTCCAGGACTCACCCTCCGGGAACTTTGCTGTATCCCACACCAATGGCCACACCCTCTTGTAGTTCTTTCTGTTGGCTTCCAGGTCCCCACCTCTGCTGGCTTCCCCCAACCCCCTCGCTCTGCCCCTCTAGCTGCTCCTGCATCCGTTGAGCTCCCTGCCCCTGAAACTGGCAGTCTCTGAGTAGTATTTCTCTCTACATTCAAAAAAAGTCCAGGCCCAGCATCACCTGTGATCTCAGAGAGTACTTTTGGAGGCTGAGGTGGGCGGGATTACTTGAAGCCAGGAGTCTGGGACCTGCCTGAACAACATGGCAAAACCCTGTCTCTGCAAAAAGCTGGGCATGGTGATGGGTGCCTGTAGTCCAGCTACTTGGGAGGCTGAGGAAGGAGGATGGCTTGAGCCCAGGAGTTTGAGGATGTAGTGACCTGTTATCACACTACTGCACTCAAGCCTGGACAACAGAGTGAGACCCTGTCTCTTTTTTTTTTTTTTTTTGAGACGGAGTTTCGCTCTTGTTACCCAGGCTGGAGTGCAATGGCGCAATCTCGGCTCACTGCAACCTCCGCCTCCTGGGTTCAGGCAATTCTCCTGCCTCAGCCTCCTGAGTAGCTGGGATTACAGGCACACGCCACCATGCCCAGCTAATTTTTTTGTATTTTTAGTAGAGACGAGGTTTCACCATGTTGACCCGGATGGTCTCGATCTCTTGACCTCGTGATCCACCCGCCTCGGCCTCCCAAAGTGCTGGGATTACAGACTTGAGCCACCGCGCCTGGCGACCCTGTCTCTTAAAAATAAAAGCCAGGTGCGGTGGCTCACGCCTGTAATCCCAGCACTTTGGGAGGCCGAGGCAGGTGAATCACGAGGTCAGGAGTTTGAGACCAGCCTGGCCAACGTGATGAAACCCCATCTCTATTAAAAATACAAAAAATTGGCCGGGCGCGGTGGCTCAAGCCTGTAATCCCAGCACTTTGGGAGGCCGAGGCGGGTGGATCACGAGGTCGAGAGATCGAGACCATCCTGGTCAACATGTGAAACCCCGTCTCTACTAAAAATACAAAAAAACTAGCTGGGCGTGGTGGCGTGTGCCTGTAATCCCAGCTACTTAGGAGGCTGAGGCAGGAGAATTGCCTGAGCCCAGGAGGCGGAGGTTGCGGTGAGCCGAGATCGCGCCATTGCACTCCAGCCTGGGTAACAAGAGCGAAACTCCGTCTCAAAAAAAAAAAAAAAAAAATACAAAAAATTAACCAGGCATGGTGGCAGGCCCCTGTAATCACAGCTACTCAGGAGGCTGAGCCAGGAGAATCACTTGAGCCCAGGAGGTGGAGGTTGCAGTGAACTGAGACCACACCACAGCACTCCAGCCTGGGCAACAGAGCAAGACTCCATCTCAAAAATAATAATTAAAAAAAAAAAAAGTAAAAATTGGGCTGGGGGTGGTGATTCACACCTGTAATCCTAGAACTTTGGGAGGCCAAGGCTGGAAGATCACTTGAGCACAGGTGTTCCAGACTAGCCTGGGCAGCTAAGTGAGACCCCATCTCTTCTTTTTTTTTTTTTTTTAATATAAAGAAAATATAAACTTTTTTTTTTTTTTTTTTTTTTAAGAGATGGGGGTTTCTCCGTGTTGGTCAGGCTGGTCTCGAACTCCCAACCTCAGGTGATCCACATGCCTTGGCCTCCCAAAGTGCTGAGATTACAGGCGTGAGCCACCACACCCAGTGTGAGACCCCCATCTCTGTTAAAAAAAAAAAAAAAAAATTAAACAGGTGTGGTGGTCCCAGCTACTCAGGAGGCTAAAGTGGAGGGATCGCTTGAGCCCGGGAGAGAGTCATGATTGCACCACTGTACGCTAGCCTGGGCAATAAAGCAAGACCCCGTCTCAAAAAAAAAATAATAATCCATAAGCACATCCTCATTCTGTTTCCATACATGTGTAGATATACTGCACACTACTGCGGCACACACAGAATGGAAGAATGTGATGGAAAGTGGGAGCAGCACTGGCTACATCTGCCTCCCTGGCCCCGAAGCCATCTCCAGCCCCTCCTGAGCGCTACCCCTCCTTTCCTATTCAGCTGCTGGCACCCGATCCCTGATCATGCAGGACCAGCCTAGATTCCCCACAGCGAAGCAGCCAGCTTCGCCTCTGACAGTTCTGGAATCTGTCACCTCCTTGTCAGCGCCATGGGTCCTGGTGTAGGCCTCTGTCATTTCACGTCTGAGCCACTGGACTAAGCTCCTAGTATCCCCTTCTCCAGTGGGTGAGGATTTATTTTAAGACCCCAATGTGACCTTGTTCTTCAGTCATTCGAAGTGAGACAGGGCAGTCCCTTGGCCTCACCTTCCACCTTGGACACCTGCGCTGAGCCTGTGGCACGTGTCACTGTAACTAAACTCACAGCAGGATGAGTGCCCTGGCAGAGGGAACAGGCCGTGCAGAAGCCCCAGGGGAGAGAGGGACTGTCCAGGACAATAAGGCAGCTGCTGGGTCAGAGGGCTGAGTACAGACAGGTTCTCCACCCCATGAGGCTCCGTGGATGACTGGGTGGGATGGGGGCTTTAGCAGGGGAGAGATGAGATCTGCTTGGAGCAAAGGCCACTCTGGTTGCCACAGCCATGAGGACTAGCAGGGGACCGTGGGAGGCTGCTGCTGTGGTCCAGTTGAGACAGGACATGGATGGCAGAAAGGCAGTGGACAGGGACAGAGCCATGGCATCACCCTCCCAGTATGTGAGAGAGGACGTCCAAGCTGAGCCCTTGATACCACTCCATCCAGGGGCAGGGAGGAGAGCGGAGTGGAAGGGCACAGGATGGCAACGGGGTGTGGGGAGGCCAGCCTCTCTGCTGCAAGAGCCCTGAGCCAGGGACGATGGTGCCTGACCTTTCCCGCAAGCCCTCTGTCCTGCTGGAAGGAGAGGCCAGGAGGAGACCCAGGTGCTGAGGAGCAGAGACAGGACTGGGGATGGTTGGAGACCTGACCCAGGGTTGGGGGTGTGCCTTCAGAATCGCCCCTGCCCCACTCGAGGGCTGCTGACTCCCACCCTGACCTCTCAGCAGGAGAGCATAGTCCACTTCCTGATGCTAAAACACTCAGCATTTCCCTAGAAACAAAGGCAGCCACGCAAACCCAGAGCAAACAGGTGGTGTGTCGTTGCCCATTGCGTTTCAATGGACTGGGGTCCAGCTTCTAGAGGCCTGAGTGTGAGGCGTGTGCACATCTGGGGCGGGTTATGTGGGGCAGGAGCTGGGGAGAGGGCAGGCTGCTCCTAACCTCGTCCTTTCCCGCAGGACCTGGTCTGGGCCATCAGCTACTACACCCGGTTCTTCGTCACCTACATCCCTTTCTACGGCATCCTGGGAGCTCTCCTTTTCCTCAACTTCGTCAGGTGCCTGGGCTTGGCTGGTTCATCCATGGGCCCTCCGCTGGCACCAAGGGGGCTTTGGCACGAGAAGAGGCTCCGACCGCTCTGCTTTCCCCAGGGACCTCCTGTCCTGGCCCCTCGGCAGGGGCTGTCCTGGACCAGTTGGGAGGGTGGATCTGTTCCCGCTGTGGCGAGCGAGCGTCCCCTCCCACCCCTGACCCCGGCAGCCCCCGCGCTGAGCTGTGCTCTCTTGCAGGTTCCTGGAGAGCCACTGGTTTGTGTGGGTCACACAGATGAACCACATCGTCATGGAGATTGACCAAGAGCCCTACCGTGACTGGTTCAGTAGCCAGGTAAGGGAGGCAGGGCTGGTCACCAGAGCTGTGCGAAGCCTGGTCCCCATGTCCATGTCCTGGCCCCAGATGCACCACACCAGCTGCCCCAGGGCTGTGCTGGGCCTCCCGGGGCTGCCTGTGTCCTTCTGCTGGGCACTTCAGGGCTAAGCACGAAAGGGTAGCAGGAGTCCCGGAGGGACAGGTGGGGCATTTGGGTGGGCTGAGGCTGCCAGGCAGGACGGTATGATGTGGAGGGGTGGCCTGGAGACCCTGGGTAAGGCTGGGCCCCCAAGGAATAAGGCCAGGCCCTGGAGCTTTCCATGGGTGTCCCTGACACTCCTCTCCTCCCCTGACAGCTGTCAGCCACCTGCAATGTGGAGCAGTCCTTCTTCAACGACTGGTTCAGCGGACACCTTAACTTCCAGATTGAGCACCAGTGAGCGAGGGGCTTTGGGGGAGGCGGGGAGGTCTATGCCGGGAGGAAACTGGCCATTACTCCCATCTGGGCAGAGCGCAGTATGTGGGGACCACCTCTTTGTCCCCCTGGCAAGGTCCCTACCCCATCTAGAGCAAGCCTCCCCCACCGGCCCTGCTGAGGTCAGGAGAGGGGATTCCCTGCGCCATCTCTCCGAGGGGCATCCTGTGCCCCTCGTCCTGTGCCACTTGGTCATAGTGATAACCACCTCCCTCCACGTGGGACTGGGCTTTGTAGTTCCAGAGCCTGAATGCGCACCTTGTGACCCTGTGAGGCTAGCAGGGCAGGGCTACGTAGCCGGTCTAGAACATCGGCCAAGGGACTGCCCCTGCTGCCCCTTGGTATCACCCTGTTTCCTGGGCTGGAGTGCAGTGGTACCTTTTTAGCTCGCCACAGCCTCGAACACCTGGGCTAAAGCCATCCTCCCACCTCAGCCGCCTGAGTAGCTGGGACTACAGGTGGACGCCACCATGCCCAGCTAATTTTTTTACATCTTTCCACTTTTTTTATGCATTTATTTTTGAGACAGAGCCTCTCTCTGTTCCCCAGGCTGGAGTGCGGTGCCACCATCTTGGCTCACTGCAGCCTCTACTTCCCGGGTACAAGCAATTCTCTCACCTCAGCCTCCCATGTAACTGGGATTACAGGCATGCACCACCACGCTTGGCTAATTTTTATGTTTTTAGTAGAGATGGGATTTCGCCATGTTGGCCAGGCTGGTCTCAAACTCCTGGCCTCAGCTGGGCGTGGTGGCTTACACCTGTAATCCAAGCACTTTGGAGGCCAAGGCAGGTGGATCACCTGAGGTCAGGAGTTCAAGACCAGCCTGACCAACATGGTGAAACCCCATCTTTATATATATATATATATACACATATATAACAAATCAAACTCCTGGCTTCAAGTGATCCACTCACCTTGGCCTCCCAAAGTGCTGGAATTATAGGCGTGGGCCACCGCCCCCTGCCTCACTGTCTCTTTTCCTAGCATTCCCTGGCTATTTCATTTCTTTTCTGAAAAACGTGACACTTGGGCCACCCAATATCTTCTTCCCCACTCCATAGAGCACAAACACCCTCCTGCTCACAGAAGGCTGCACATGCCCTCCACACACGGGGCATCCCAGTGGGCACACGGGGGGAGCCACACTTCAAGCCTGATCCTGGCTGTGGACAGGATCTCCGAGGGCCCCAGCCAGCGTCTGCCTGGGTGGTGGGAGGAGGCCGGAGCAGCACCCACCTCTGGGGTCCTCACTCTCTGCCCGCACTCCTCAGCCTCTTCCCCACCATGCCCCGGCACAATCTCCACAAGGTCGCCCCACTGGTGAAGTCTCTGTGTGCCAAGCATGGCATCGACTACCAGGAGAAGCCGCTGCTGAGGGCCCTGCTGGACATCATCAGGTGAGGGGGTGGCAGTCCACGGCGCTGGGCCCTGGGATCACCTGTGGTGCACAAGAGGGGCTGGGTCTTCCTGGCACAGTCCCCCACCAGGGCACTTGCCTGACTCCAGAGGCTGGGTCAGGATTTACGGGCTTTTCTCCCTGGGCTGCAGGAAGACCGTCTCTTTCTGCATGGGATTCCTGCTGGGCTTTGGGCTGGCAGCCCTCCAGGCCCAGTGGTGGTGTGGTTAGGTCTGGGGGGAAGTACCTGCCCCCCAATCATGGCCCCCTCAGCTCTAGTGCTTCCTGGGGCTGGCCCCTGTCCTGGTCCCTGACCCTAGTCCATCCCCCTCTTTGCAGGTCCCTAAAGAAGTCCGGGGAGCTGTGGCTGGACGCCTACCTCCACAAATGAAGCCACAGCCCTCAGGACACCACAGGGAAGGGCGCAGGTGGAGTGATGGCCAAAGGAAGGGTGGGCTTTTGTTCTGAGGGGGGTCCAAGAGGCTGACTACATGCCGCTCACAGACCCCAATTGGGTCTTTCTCCCTTTCTCCTCACCTTTTTCCCTTCAAGTCTCCCCACAGCATCCCACACCCCTGGGGCCTGCCAACCATCAGCCGGGGTCCTCCCAGTGCCTCCCGGTCCCTTCCTCCAAGGAGCAGAGAGAGAGGCGGCCACAGCGGGTGGCTCTGTCCCACCTCCACTCTGCTCCTGAAGGTGGGAGGAGACCAGCGGCCCATGAGTCTGGTCTGTGAGCCCCCCTGCAGCCTGGTCACTAGGCTGCACCCTCCCCACTTTGGTTCTTCAGACGCTCTTGGGGCTCGTGGGGGCAGGTCCTAGTCGGCCAGGGCCCCTGACCCTCCGGGCACCACTTCCCTCTCCCTGATGGCCACCATTGGTCTGCCCTTTTGTAGAGAGGCCTGCTTTGTGCTTGGTCTCCCTCCCACAGCCGGGATCAGTACCCGGGGCCTCTCTTCCTTTCTTTCTTTCTTTCTTTTTTTTTTTTTTTTTTTTTTTTTTTTTTTTTTTCTTTTTTTTTTTTTTTTTTTTTTTTTTTTTTTTTTTTTTTGAGACGGAGTTTCGCTCTTGTTACCCAGGCTGGAGTGCAATGGCGCGATCTCGGCTCACCGCAACCTCCACCTCCTGGGTTCAGGCAATTCTCCTGCCTCAGCCTCTGGAGTAGCTGGGATTACAGGCACACGCCACCATGCTCAGCTAATTTTTTGCACCATTAGTAGAGACGGGGTTTCACCATGTTGACGAGGATGGTCTCGATCTCTTGACCTCGTGATCCACCCGCCTCGGCCTCCCAAAGTGCTGGGATTACAGGCTTGAGCCACCGCGCCTGGCTCTTTCTTTCTTTTTTTTGACGTCACCACATCGATCGGAAGAATGGGGCCTCTCTTAAGATGTCCAGGGCCCTGGGTCTCTGGGCACAGCCAGCCCAGACCTTGGGCCCTGGAAGAGTCCTCCACCCCATCACTAGAGCACTCTGAGCCTGGGCTTTCACGGGCCAGTTCCACTGTCTCCCCAGCTTGAGCTTGTGACCTTGGGACAAAGCAGGAGTCCCTTGTCCCTTGTGGCTCAGCAGAGGCAGTGACCAGGTTATGGGAGGGGCCAGCTGGCCTGGAGGCTCAGCCCGACCCCCCAGCTTGTCCTGGAGGATTCTGGAGCAATCCGACCAGCTGGGCAGTGCCAGCCAATCCTTGACCATTTGGCCCCAGGGGATGTGGGCCCTGCAGGCTTCGAGAGGGCGCTGGAGCTGGGGGGGGTCTCGTCCTAGCCCCTCCCCTTCTCGGGGCTGCTGTGTGGACGGCACTCTCTCAGGACCCTCCTATGTGTACCTGCCTTTACTGTGTTTAACCTTTTGCTCCAGGATGCATTCTGATGGGAGGGGTGGCAGGGCCGGGCCTTGTGACAATCTGCCTTTCACCACATGGCCTGGCCTTGGTGACCCTGACAGGGAGGGCCTGGAAGGCAGAGCGGGAGGGAGTCTCAGGTGGAGGCTGCCCTGATGGGCTGGGGAGGGGGGTACCTCGTGAGGACCAGGCTGGAGCGGAGAAGAGGAGGAGCTGATGGCTGGAGGAGCTGGTAGCTGAGGGAACGGGCAAGTGAGAGGGGAGGGGGGAAGTCCTGGGGGGTCCTGAGCTGCTGTTACAGTCTAACCCACTAATCAGTTCTTAGATTCAGGGGAGGGAAGGGCACCAACAACTCAGAATGGGGGCCTTTGGGAGGGCACCTAGTGCCCCCAGCTCTAACCAGCCAGCAGGACTAACATCTAAGCCTCTGGGTTGCCATGTGATGGCCTGCACCCAGCTATTATATGCCCCACCCCCCGCAGAGGCAGGATGAACCCGTAGGGAACTGATCGTAATGTTTATCATGTTGCTTCCCCACCCCTACATTTTTTGAAATAAAATAAGTAATTTTATTCTCATTTCCTGTTTCCTGCATGCGAATGCCAGGCCATGGTATTGGGTGGTAGAGGGGGCTCTCCTAGCTGGGCCTGGGCACCAGGAGGGGTCTCCACGATTGTGTCGCTCCGTATCCCCTCCCTCTCCTGCCCCATCCTGCCCGCCTCTCCCTGTTGCCTCTGATGTGCATTCTGGGACCCGGAACTCAGTGGAAATGACCCAAAAACATTGATCACCAAGTCAGGAGGTGGAGACCAGCCTGATCAACTTGTGAAACCCCGTTTCTACTAAAAATACAGAAAAAAAAATAGCCGGGTGTGGTGGCACATGCCTGTAATCCCAGTTACTCAGGAGGCTGAGACAGGAGAATCACTTGAACCTGGGAAGCGGAGGTTGCAGCGAGCTGAGGTCATGCCACTGCACTCCAGCCTGGATTTCTAAGCAAGACTCGGTCTCAAAAACAAAACAAAACAAGCAAAAAAAAAAAACATTGGCTCACCTTGCTCTCAGCAGCTGACCCCATCCAATTCTAAAACAGCACTGGGAGCCACCGACCCCCACTCAGTTCTAAAATAGCACTGGGAGCCACCTCTTAGCAGCTGACCCCCACTCAAGGAGGGCGGCATGGAGGGGCTTGCAGAGACCATCTTCCTCACATCCTCCCTCCCCAGCTTTCCCCAAGGGCAGTCTGCCCTCCCACTCCTGTGCCAGCCAGCCATCACAGTGCCAGGGCAAACAGAATTCCTGGCCGCCTTAGAAGGGGCTGAAGAAGGCCAGGTGCGGTGGCTCACGCCTGTAATCCCAGCACTTTGGAAGGCTGAGGCAGGCAGATCACGAGGTCAGGAGATTGAGACCATCCTGGCCAACGTGGTGACACCCCACCTCTACTAAAAATACAAAAATTAGCTGGGCATGGTTGCACACGCCTGTAGTCCCAGCTACTCAAGGGGTTGAGGCAGGAGAATTGCTTGAACCCGGGAAGCAGAGGTTGCAGTGAGCCGAGATCCTGCCACGGCACTCCAGCCTGGTGACAGAATGAGATTCTGCCTCCAAAAAAAAAAAGGTTGCAGATGGGGGACTAAAGAAGGCTCTGGAGGCTGATTCTGTCTTGTGGCGACAGCGCACATATGTGCAGTGGCTCATTCAGACCCACAGGCTGTGGGGAGGCTGATACCACCCTTGCCCAGGGTCACCAGTTCACAGGGACAGAGATTGGGTCCTGGGTGTGTCTGACCCCAGAGCCTGGGAAGCGTCCAAAGGAACATGCCGGGGGCACTTGTCCAGTCGGCCTCCCACAGGCCCCTATGCTGCTCTGTCGTCTCTGGGCTGGCCCTCCTGGCAGGGCTGAGCCTGGGAAGGTGTGCCAAGGAAGGACCAAGAGGCACTGGCTAGTCAACACCTCAGGGCCTCGCTTTAGCTTTGTAGCTGCTCCCAGCACGGTTGGGGAGGGCTCGCAAATAGACCTCACCCCTGCTTCCCCAACCCCCACTTTGCCTGGCTGAAATCTAGCCAGGTAGGGACACCCAGCAGACTGGGTGGGGTACGTGTGGCTCCCTAGTGGCCATGGGCTGTCCTGAGTAAGGCCTGGCATTATAGAAGCCCTGAGTGAGGAGGCAGACATGCCCCGGATTCACCAAGCAGCCCTGGGGAGTCCTTTGCCCTCCCCGGCCCTGTGGGCCACAGTCCACGGGGGTAGGCTAGAGGCTAGAGGGGGCCCAAGGATGCCAGTATCTCAACACTCGCTTACCCTAGGCCTTGCCTCCTAGTGGACCCACTGGTGTCATCCTTCAAGGTTGCAAGACCCTGGCAAGAATGCCTCCCGCCCTCTGCCCAGGGCCTGTGCCCCGCCTCCAGGATGGCAACCTGCCTAGGCCCCCCAACCCTGCCAGGTGGAAATCCTGGGTCCATCACCCGTAACAACCTTGGGGCTCAGGGTTGGGGAGACTGAATTCCAGATAGACGCTGGGGCTATGAGCGAACCAGGTAAATCTTGGCCCAGCCTCACCAGGCACTTCAGAGCTTCTCTGTGGCTTCCCCAGCCCCGTGCAGCCCTGCCTTGCCTTTGAGCACGTCCCTGGGTCAAGAAGCTGGGGACATTCATATCTGCTCTCTGCTTAACCACGCCCTCCGGTCTCTGGACTCAGCTGACCCCCTTGCCAACACCGCCAGAACTGTGTTTCTAATCCCTATCGCCTGCCAAAGTCATGGTGCCCGAATATTCAAGGCCCTGAGTGATCAAACCCCAACGTCTCCATCACAGGCTATGAGGCTGAGCCCAGAGAGAGGAAAGGACTGGTCTGAGGCCACACACACAGCGGCAGGATCCTGCCTCTAAGCCGCAGGCTCCTGGTCACCTCTCCTGCACTGAAAGGGCTGGTTCCCAGGCCGATGCACCCTGCCCCCATCCCATCAAATGTCAGACAGCTCCCAGGAAGCCCCAGCCAGTGGCTGGCAGGAGGGGTGGCAGCAGTGGAGGGCAGTTGGTCTCTGTGGAAGAGATAAGAGTGGGGTGGCTCCGCAGATAAAAGGGTATCAGCTTTGTGGGTGGTGGGGGGCATCTGCCGGGCCCCAGGCCTAGGCCGTGTGTGTGGGTGTGTGTGTGGCTATGGCACCAGAAGCAGATCCTCCTTGGGTGTCTGGCTGGATACTCCAAAGCCCTCTGAACCCAGTGAGAGGGGAGAGGAAGTCTACCAAGTTGGCCAGGGCAGGGCTGGCAGCCACCGCGGCTGGGCTTGGGCTGATGTCAGGAGCGGCCTGCCCCTACTTGTGTGACACACTGCCTTGGGGACATCAGGACTCCTCAGCTGACCTGGCTGCACCATCCCCCAAGAGATATGCCCCTCTGGATAAGAAGCTGTCTCTCAAAGAGTCCCTGTTCAAACATCTGAGAGGGAAATGGGGCACTGTGGAGAAGGCTTGCCCCAGGCTGAAATGCCAGTGCCCATGAAACTATTTTAGAAATTTTTTTTTTTTTTTTTTTTTTTTTTTTTTTTTTTTTTGCTTGAGATGGAGTCTTGCTCTGTTGCCAGGCTGGAATGTAGTGGCAGGATCTCGGTTCACTGCAACCTCTGCCTCCTAGGTTCAAACGATTCTCCTGCCTCAGCCTCCTGAATAGCTGGGATTACGGGTGCCCACGACCATGCCCAGCTAATTTTTGTATTTTTAGTAGAGATGGAGTTTCACCATGTTGACCAGGATGGTCTTGATCTCCTGACCTCGTGATCCACCCGCCTCGGCCTCCCAAAGTGCTGGGATTACAGGCGTGAGCCACCGCGCCCGGCCTCGTTTTCCTTCTCTAACCAGACTGGCTTCATACACAGAACAAGCAGCCACCCAGCGCACTAAGATTTCAGGATCACGTCCCCATTGTCTTCCACCATCACAAATGCTTTGCTTTGTATTTTAAAGGCATTCAGGTCTTTTCTTCTACATCATCCCACTCAAGAGCAAATGTCCAAGAGAAAGAATGACAGTA